TAGAGCAAGTAAATACATTGTGGACATTTTGCAAATGCATTTTGTGCAATTTGCAGAAACCCCCCGAAAGAACTACATTTTTTTCTCGTTTTCTTTGGTGCGCATTAACAAACATAACCAGGAAAATTTGATAAATGACGCTAACCAATTATTTTTGATGATTGATTGGTTGTATTGAACCAATCATCAATTATTATATTTTAACCAATTCCCAACACTAATGACAATCATGGGTTGTTGAAGATCAACTCTAACCCGAACTTCATGGATCTCAAGGATTTACATGTCATGCCACGTCATGACCACTCAATCCTCAATTAGGTCAGCATGTATACCAAAACTGAATGTAAACAACCCATGAAGATCCTTATCAACTTGGTCTTCAGTAGCATGTGCTGTCGTAAAATACTGACAAACAGACCAGGTTGTAAGGCTTGGTTGATGCAGGTTACAGTATGGGGAATGTTTAGATTGATGTTGAAGTGAATCACAAACATATCAAGAAACAAACAAACAAATACACTGAAGGTAAATCACATACTTCACAATTACGGTACATTTATCGCATATTACCTGTAGGCTGTCCACAGTTTTACCTGTATTTCCCCTCTCCTGACAACCCTGAATTTACATTCCATGTGAATTAATAAAAAGTTTACTATTACCCTTAAAAAGTCATAAAAAGCAGGTCAACATGACCTGTCTTTATCTATATTAAATCTATAACTGAAGCAAAATTGACTCGATCTACATTGAGAATGAACTTAAAGCCTATTACCATGTTTTTAATTCTAAAATAGCTTATTTGAATTACACAACTAGTGAAAAACAGTTTTTATATATCTATTTCTTTTTTCGCTTGCCCACTCTCCTGCTGGTTGAGGTTGGAGATAAGAAACACTCATAAAGATATGGATGGCCTTACAGCTTGGCATTCTCTCTATCTACAGGACATATTCACTAAAAAAGAGGTAGATTTCGTTTCTGTAGTTTCAAGATGTATACCGACCGCCTCCGTGGTGTAGTGGTTAGAGCGTCTGCCCAGAGAGCGGAAGGTCGCGGGTTTGATCCCCAACCGCATCATACCAAAAGACGTTAAAATATGGTACTTGTTGGTCCCTGCCTGGCGCTTGGCATTAATGGGTACAACAAGGACTGGTCGGCTCGGAGTCAGTATAATGTGTCTGAGTAGGGTATTCATGCTTCACTGCGGCATGGTATCTCAGTGGGCTAGCACTATAAAACCAGCTTCAGTCTGGGCTAGTACAAGCAGCCGCACATACACATACACACTCATGAACGTCGTCATATGAGCGAAATATTCTCAGCACGATGTTAAACCCAATTTCACCTCACCTCACCTCAAGATGTATACCAACACTAACAGCACCCATAACACAATGCCATTTTAGAAAGTGGTCAAATGTAACATGTGTTTACTTTTTTAGTAAAGTACAAATTCTAGTATATTTGTACTTTTTTGGGTTGAGTCCCATCCGGGATTCGAACCCACACCCGGTGGAAGTCACTGTGGCTGAGCGGGTTAGGTGGCTGACTTTGTATTAAAGGTCACATAAACCCTAGGGGTACAAATACATAAATCACTAACTGGCATCGCTATAAATGAAACCCCGCCATTAAAACTACTCATTTCGACCTTTAATTGACTTAAATCGACCTTTTGACAACAGTGCACAATTCTCACCACAACTAAATTTCAACTAATCAGAGCGGCGCACTTCTGTGACGCCATATGAGGAATAGCTTTGAGAGCCGATGCAGAATTCATCTACATTTTAGGGGTAAATTATCGTGTTTACAGGCTTGTATAAACCTGAAATCGCGGACAATTGTTGTGGAAAATGAAAGCTATATGTTCTCACAATCTACTGTCATTTAATTTTGTCTCCTGCTTTGCCTAGTTTCCGAAGTTACAACTTGTTTTCATAGACGATTCTGTCAAAATCGATTGGTGTCAAGTAGGGCCCTATTTGTATAATGACTGATCCAAATTGATCCCATTTCTGTGTTGTTTTACCTCGATATTTAATCATGTCATGTAAAAATCTGTTTGTATTCTCAAAACAGTGTCGGCCCATAAGTTTTCACATGCAATACAGCAATTAATACTCCCTCGTTGTAACCCGTGGTTAGGTGGTATAAACCTACACATGTTATTTGTCATCATTCACTTGATGGTCAGTTAATGAATTTATAACAGGTATAATTAGTGGTAACACACTTAGATTACCCGACAAAGGTTCCCATTTGGCATTTCTTGTGTCTGGAGTAAATATTCAACATTATAAACATCGATCAAAGGATTAACCGATAACACGCTGATTGATTAATTACTTTTATCTTACACAGCGGAATTGTCAAAAGGTAGTGTTTATGTATGTAGATTTACTAATCTATACTGAATACACTCTGTCGTGTCGGTGTTCAAGTGAAAACAACGCCCTTCTTTCAAAGGATTAACCGCAATACATTGATTGATTGCCCATTATTGGCTAACTAAATTACTGTTTTAAAGAAAGGCGGACATTATGCAATTAGTTGCCAGGTGTGCTATCTTGGGTGACCAATGAGACTATACACCAATACCTGAAAAGATTTATCACTTTTTCGTGATATTAAACTGTTAAAAGACACATCATTTGGAACAGTTTTGTGGATATTGATGGATACATTCCTAACAAGGTAATGGCCTGATATTGTTCCTATAACTTTAATCTGTTTTAATTTTAATATTTGCATTTTGTTTTTATTCATTTGTCGTGAGCATTCAACAGAATCATTGTTTTCGCCGTGAAGTGTAATGAGACAGACAACATGCACTAGGTGTGTGTGCGAATTATGATTCACATTGGCAAACTATAAAATGTCTAGATATTACAGTTCTGTTATAAATTCACTATAAGTATCAGCAGATCGCCTGCTTTTATTTAGTTTCAAAATGCATACAAGTGTGATAATAAACTAATTAGGATTATAAGACCAAATATAAAGACGCATTACTGACTAGTATCTACATACTGGTGAGTGGACATTAACCATGGGAATGTAGCAAGAAATTTATCGCAGTAGTATTGTGACTTCGACCCCCACCTCGCCTGCGGAAGAAATCGCTATGTTATAAGTTGTGTCATGCAAAATCCGCTTGGTTATGATTCCAATACATATTTAACAACGAGTAGAAAGTAGTCTTGATTTTCTAACTTGATGAAAACAAACTATAATCTCATTAATTCTAACAGATTTTTTATTTTAAAATGGCGGCGCTCTGTCGGGAACATCCGCCAGTCTGAGGATAAATGGTATTTAGGTTTGTTTTCACCGAAAGTTACAAAATCAAAACTACTTTCTACTGGTAGTAAAATATGTATTTTATTGATGGCCAATAGGATTTTGCATGACATAGCGATATCATAACAATTTCTCTCGTGGCAGCCAGGTGGGTGTCAATATAATACTACTTACAATATTATTGTTACTTCGACCACAACCTCACTTCCGAGGAAGAAATCGCTATGTTACAAGTTGTGTCATAGAAAATCTTTATGGTCATCAATCATATGCATATTTTACTACAACTAGTAAGTAGTTTTGATTCTTTAACTTCCGCGGAAGCCGCATCTGAACACAAGTAAGATATCGCTTCAGGCTTCCACAACGCCGCTTCAAGACTCACAAACATAACCCATTTAGCACCTAACCGCGGGTCCTGTGGAAATCTGTGCATGGGGACACCATCGCCCGACCCCTAGGAGCAATTGACGACAAAGCAACGATTCGCATGTCGCCGTTGATGTCGAGAAATCATCAAAATGATGAGCGCATACACATTTTCTATACAACTAACTGAAAATCGCTCCTCATATGACGCCACTGCAGTGCTCTGGCGACAGAGTTACGTGAACCTGTCTGTGGTTTCGCATGGCGGGCGAGAGGAAGCAGGCTTAATTTTTGGCCACTTTTAATCGCCGGTATTAATTAACCACAAGTTTTTAAAGAATAAATTTGGTGTTCCGTGATAAGACTAACCACAAATCTTCATATGTAATGGTTAAAAGAGTAACAAAAACAAAGTTTAGTGGTTCTTTAACAGAAAGTAATCGGAGTGGCTAAATATTGAGCCATGCTAGAATGCTGTAAAGATACCAGCCAACACCGGTAGCATTTGAGTATGTCATTCACATTATTTAGACAGTCAATAAACTCCCAGATATTGAAAATGACTCCCAAAATAAATACTGTGAGTCAGCATGACTCCCATTTTTCAAAGTCTGTGTAAAACCCTGTACACTGGTGTATCTTAAATCTGTAGCCTTGATACATTAAGGTGACCTTTTCTGTTTCTTGTCAAAGTCAGAGGGGGAATATTTTTTAAAAGAAATGCTGACATTTCTTTAAAAAAAACAGAATAGTTTCATAAATCATGAAATGCTGCCTGCATGGGAAGTGGACAAAAGAAGAAAAAGAATAAGCCACCTACTTCAGCATCATCATTCACAGGAAGGGTTGTTGTTTGTTATTTTTTTTACATAGAAGACAAAGGGAAATAATTTCTTTCTGCTGTGTATCAAGGACTGACTGACTGAGTTTGGGGGATTTCAACCCGGTCTTCAGCATGACGCAGCCAACGCTTTAACCACTAGACTACCCCAATCACTCGTATCAAGGACAAGACTCTAGATGTATTATACAATTTCCTGTGATTTGTTGGCTGAGTGATTTGGAAAAATATGTCAAATTGAGCATTTAAAGTTTTATAGATTATTTAGTTTTAAACACTTATTCCCTGCATATAAGACAATGCCCAGCAAAACAAATTAGATCTGAATAGGTAAATAATCTTGTCTAGTGATGTTTAATTGCAAATTTGACGTCTTTACTGACAAAGTCGCTTCTCTTGTGTGTTTGTCATGCGAAGGTGATACAATGTCATTTTCTTACTCTGAAAAAAGGTTTGACGAAAGTGTAACCCATAGATAAGCCGACCCCCTTCTACAGACTGCTATTTTTGGTCCTCAAAATTCGGCTTATCTACGGTAATATGCGGTAATCTCAAAATATGTCTGAAGGGGTCGTTGTTGCCACAGTTACAACAGATACGACAGTTTGAATCAAGAAATCGGTGAGGAAAGGATTCTTCCTAAGGTACATTTCTGTATTCTCATTTTGGCGAAGTTAGATTTCTGCATAAAGAAACGTACCTAAGGTACATATCTGGAGTACCCGTGATGACAAGGAAATATTCAGCAAAAATAAGTGTAAGGTGCGTGTATTCTTCTCCCTGACAATTTTGAAGATCGACAGATTTAAGATCCAGCATTTGTAATAGCTATATGCTGACGGTAATGAAAACTGACTGATATTGCCATGTAACATACAGTCAAATACAAACCATCCATCCTTACTTCACAGTTTCCGGAAACACTGTTTCAACAATTTCTTTCTTGTTGACCTTTCCCATAGCATTTCTGGGCATTTTCTCCACACACCTCACGACGGTAGGAATCTGATATGATGGCATGTAGTTTTTAGCCCATTCTTTCAATATTCCAACAGTGACTTCTCGATCTTCTTTGCAAACCAAGATGGCCGCCACCTTCTGGCCCCATGTGATGTCTGGCAGACCAATCACAGCGCAGTCCACGATGTCTGGATGAGCCAGTAGGTGCCGTTCTACATCAAGGGCACTTATCTTGTAGCCCCCGCTCTTGATGATGTCCACCGATGTCCGACCCATGATGCGGTACACCCCATCTTTATACATGGCTGTATCACCTGATAGGAACACAAGAAGTCACACTCAGGAACTGTAAGTAGGTCAGACATGAACAGAGTGTGTGTATGTGTGTGGACACACATGCATGGATGTCTATAGTATGTCAAATGTAACATATGTTATATTGGGGATAACACTTAATTATAGTATGTCAAGTTTGTCCCGGAAGATGTATTATTTGGTTCAATAATGTTAACAATACATGTATACAATGAATTATGGTTACAATGGTGTTATAACGAGCCACCAATTTTAGTTGTCATTATAGAGTATAAAGCATGCATGCACGTGCATGGAAGTTGCACCATATCTTGTAGCCATGGTCAAAGAGTGTAAGCATTATAGAACATGAAATGAACATTCATCATCTATACCTATCAGTAACAACAAACCTGTTTTCAACACACATAATTTGTAACAACCTACAGTGGAAACCACCTAAGTATAGACCGCTTAACTAAACAGACCTGGTAAGTAAACACTTTTCTTCCGGTCCCGACAACTTTCTTCATTAATTATCACTATTAGAGTTCGGTTAACTAACTCGGATAAGTAAACAATACCTCTTAACTAAACGTCTTCTCACGGTCCCTGGAAGTAAATTACGTAACAAAAGACACTGGATAACTAAATTAGTGATCACCACATAATCTGACATGAGGGGCAATCGCGTCAGTCTCCAGTCAAACAAAAATCCTACTTACAGCTTGCTGGCGTCAAGCAGTTGACAATACACTGACAACTGGAGGCCATCCCTGATAAGTTGTTCATTGTTACATATGCATACATATACATGCATATGGTTGTCATTTGCAGGTTTTTATAAGTTTGGATAAGTAAAATACCTGATAAGTAAACAATTTTGGCGAGTCCCTTGAAATTTTACTTATCAGGTTTCCACTGTACCTGTTTTGAACCATCCATCTTTGGTAAAAGCCTGACTTGTGGCCTCTGGTTTTCCCCAGTACTTCTGGAACACACTCGACCCTCGGACCAGCAGCTCCCCCTGCTCTCCACCTGGAAAACATGACACACCCACATCAGCAGTGTATGCATCGTGAGACTCTATTATTACACCAAACACATATGCAGAGCTCCAGATAAGATTTAGCTCATGTGGGTACTGTGCCCACTGTATTCTTTTGGAGTGGGTATTATGAATTATGAGTGGGTATGTCATTTTGCGTTACCCACTGCTTACAAATATGTGCGTATTTAAGTCATTTTACTCACCTAAGTATTATGTCATTGAGTAAGTTTACTAAGCAGATATGTTCTGCCTTATGTCATACCTAATCAAAACCAACTTAAATATAATGGAAATGATTTCATAAAAAAATCACTCATCCTATACTAACAGTACAACTTGATAGCAATGATGTCTTTTTCATTACACAAGCGATTTTTATAAATATATTCCGTACGCATTTGTTTTAAACCTTTTGCATATCTAACATTTTAAATGCATAATTGGTACGCAACAATTATTTTTCAATGCGTAATTGGAAATGTTCTATGCATATTTTACCCGGATACGCAGCTTATCTGGGCCTCTGCATATGTGTTGAAACAGTAAACATTAAAAAATAAACTGGAAACTTACATTACTACAAATACACAAATAAACAATTCATGTGAGTGTGCAAGGTTACAGACTTGTTCAGCCTCTTTATCTCAGTTTGGTGAATGTTGTTTTACACTGTTCAGTAATATTCCAGCTTTAAAATACATGTATGATCTCACTCCATGCTTTCAAATGCAGGTTATCAATGAAGTCACAGTTTAGAAACCTAGTTTCTACTAAATCTGATCAAACAGAAATATGATACTTTAAAGTTGTCAGGTAATGCACAATGAACTCAACACTAACTACAAGTAATGGCACTAGTTACTTGTGTGGTATTCTGTACAAAACAAAGCAGCCTGTATCTACTGAATCTGTTTCAGGAAGTCGAGGAGCTGACAGTATGAGCAAAGAACAAAGTCTTATTAGTCGGGAATTAAAGCATTCATTCATCATACCGAAGACCCGGTGTTGATTCCCCACATGGGGACAATGTGTGAGGCCTTATTTCCATTGTCCACACAGACGCATGCACGCACAAACAATGATATTGTTGGAAGTGTATGCACACACACGCACACATGCCAGTGTTCACTTAATGGTGTTTCAAAGTAATAGGACTTTCGGTCCTGTAAGTTTCAGATGTCTGTCTGACCCATTGAAAATTTAAAGGACCCATAGAATAAAGTTAAACACACATTTCAGATTAAATATTTCTTATATTGGCATTGAAATTATTAACAAACATAAGATTTATAAACAGCAAACAAGTGTCACATGTCACATAAAACAACTTCAGTCAAAGTCATTGTGAAATATACAGTCAGAAACTGGGGCGGCTGGTTGTAGATTTCTATCGACCATTGGCTTAATCTGGGCGGATTTGTCAGAGGGTCAGACGCTATTCGTGAACACTGACATGCACGCACACAGACACACACACAAACATTTAAAAAAAATATGGTATTGCTGGAAGGGGAAGTAAAATCAAACTTACTAACTCACTCTTTCTTCAGACAAATGGTGCAAGAACCTATTGTATTTGATGTTTGTGGGGAGTTCTTACATGCAGTGTAGAACATTAGGCAAGAACACCAAGTGGTTGATGAAATGACAATAAATAGATTCAGTTACTATTACACCAATCGTCAATGACTCTGGGAATTAACTTGAAACAATGATGCATATGTCTCAGATACAAAGTATGACAGATCTTTCATGATTCTCAGTTTTGAGGAATGTTTTCACATTGATTTCAATGTTACATGTCTACAGACAAGGTTGTGGAAATAGTGGTCCAGTTGTCTAAGATAGCATCTCTCTGGGCAGAGTTGTCTCCCTTGGGTATGATCGAAACATTTGATCGAGGGTTCAAAACCTATGTTTGTTAGAACCATAACCATTATCAAAGTGGTAACAAGTGAGAGCTGAATCACTTCATGCTCTCCCTTTACACTGAGCTGATATGCCTTGATATAACTGGAACACAGCTCCAAGCAGCGTTAAACACAACTCACTCATTCACTCAAAGACAAGGTAATGAAAAGATAAGAAAAGGTTCTCTGTGGGTTTGGATTATGGTAACAAGAAATGACAAGAATAAAGAGAGCAGCATCACTTGAGTGAGTGAGTGAGTGAGTGAGTTTAGTTTTACACTGCTTTTAGCAATATTCCAGCAATATCACCGTGAGGGACACCAGAAATGGACTTCACACATTGTACCCATTTAGGGTATCGAACCTGAGTCTTCAGCGTGACGAGCGAACGCTTTAACCACTGGGCTACCCTACCGCCCCCATCACTTGATGACATGACATAATACTAATGCTAGATGAAGTATTGGGAATCATTCAGCATACAAAAAGGGCTGCCCAAATCTGCTGCAAGATAGAGTGGGTGAGTTTATTTAGTTTTACGCCGCTTTTATCAATATTCCAGCAATATCACGGCGGGGACACCAGAAATGAGCTTCACACATTGTACCCATGTGGGGAATCGAACCCAGGTCTTTGGCGTGACGAGTGAACGCTTTAACCACTAGGCTATTCCACTGTCCTGCTAAAAGTTAGACAACTTGTTACAGAACTGCCATAGACATATTCATGTAGATAAAGATGGATGGTCTTACTTCTGTAGACTGTGGTGGTTCTGGAGTTTCCACGTGCTAGGATGTCATAGCCATTCTCAGCATAGACGTTCTGCTGCACTATGCACACATCTACTTCAGGGAATGGATGACCAACAGAGCCTGAAGAGATAAATGTTAGAATACAATGAATACATGAATGGAATTAGGAACATACTTGACTCAAGGTTTCAAATGACAATAACAACCTCTGCTGACATGACAATAATAACCTCTGCTGACATCACAATAACAACCTCTGCTGACATCACAATAACAACCTCTGCTGACATCACAATAACAACCACTGCTGACATCACAATCACAACCACTGCTGACATCACAATAACAACCTCTGCTGACATCACAATCACTGCTGACATCACAATAACAACCTCTGCTGACATCACAATAACAACCTCTGCTGACATGACAATAATAACCTCTGCTGACATCACAATCACAACCACTGCTGACATCACAATAACAACCTCTGCTGACATCACAATAACAACCTCTGCTGACATCACAATCACTGCTGACATCACAATAACAACCTCTGCTGACATCACATCACAACCTCTGCTGACATCACATCACAATCACTGCTGACATCACAATAACAACCTCTGCTGACATCACAATAACAACCTCTGCTGACATCACAATAACAACCTCTGCTGACATCACAATAACAACCTCTGCTGACATCACAATAACAGGGATGGGGTAGCCTAGTGGTAAAAGCGCTGGCTTCGCAATCACTAAGACCCGGGTTCAAACCCCACATGGGTACAATGTGTGAAGCCCATTTCTGGTGTCCCCTGCCGACGGATGTTGCTGGAATATTGCTAAAAGCGGCGAAAACAAACTCACTCCTCTCACTCACATCACAATAACAACCTCTGTGGATATCATAATTGCTACTTTAAACCAAGGTCAGCTGACACTATCATAACAACAATCACAACACAACAAATGATGCTACTAAATGTTCACATTAGTGTTGCAATCAATTTGAGGCAGAAAACAACAGAAATAAACTAATGGACATTGTAATTTACAAAACAGCTGTGTACAGTTGAAAATTAAACCCTGTTACCTTGAGGTGTGTCCATATGATGTTTGCTTTTGAAATACAATCTTTTTAATCACCCTGCCTAAATACCACCCAAGAGTATGAACCATCAAAATCTATACTAATTCATACACTTTTATGGGGACTGAAGATCATCGACAAAGCATCAACATTCCAAATCAACCGATATATAACATAAAAGAAGAGTGAGTGAGTGTGTTTAGTTTTATGCTGCACTCAGCAGTATTCCAGCTATATGACGGCAGTCTGTAAATAATTGAGACTGGACCAGACAATCCAGTGATCTACAGCATGAGCATCGTTCTACGCAATTGGGATGACTGTGTCAACCAAGTCAGCGAGCCTGACCACCTGATCCCGTTAGTCGCCTCTTACGACAAGCATGGGCTACTGAAGACCAATCCTACCCGGGGATCTTCACAGGTCACATAAAAGAAGAGCACCCTATATTTTCATATGGCTATAGTTAATCTGTCATGTAGTATAAATATGTTTTGTCATTTCATGACAATGGACCCGTGAAGACGCGGGTTAGAATTGACCTTCAGTAACCCATGCTTGTTGTAAGAGGCGACTAACAGGATCGGGTGGTCAAGCATGCTTACTTGGTTGACACATGTCATCGCATCCCAACTGCATGATCGATGCTCGTTTTGTTGATCACTGGATTGTCTTTCAAGACTCGATTATTTACAGACCGCTGGCATATACCTGGAATATTGCTGAGAGTGGCGTGAAACTAAGCTCACTCACTCACTCTTATCAGGACAAAGCATCAACACAGGTCCAACAGATCAGCAGATAACTAGTTCTACATTGAAAACATGGTATGATTATTTCCTATTACACTACATAAATGAAGAGCACCCAATATTTTCATATAGCTACAGTTAATCTGTCATGTAGTATTAACGAGTTCTGTCATTTCATGACAATGGTTTGAAACAAAAATTTACCTAAGAATTCTTTTGTCATGATGCTCAACTTGTCTCATGTCCATGCACAGCAGACCTAGTATTTCACCTGCTATGGGGGCGGTGGGGGTAGCCTAATGGTTAAAACACCGCCTCCGCGGTGTAGTGGAGTTAGAGCCGTCCGCCCGAGAGCTGGAAGGTCGGTTCGGTTCCCCCACCGCGGTCATACCAAAAGACGCGTTAAAATATGGTACTTGTTGGTCCCCGCCTGGCTTCGCATTAAAGGGTACAACAAGGACTGGTCGGCCTAGAGTCAGTATAATGTGTCTGAGTGGGGTATTCATGCTTCACTGCGGCATGGTATCTCAGTGGGCTAGCACTATAAAACCAGCTTAAGTCTGGGCTAGTACAAGCAGCCGCACATACACATACACACGCATGCACGCTCAGTCATATGAGCTAAATATTCTCAAGCACGACGTTAAACCGACTTTCACCTCACCTCACCTCACCTAATGGTTAAAGTGTCCGCTCGTCATGCTGAATCTGGGTTCGATTCCCCACATGGGTACAATGTGTGAAGCCAATTTCTGGTGTCTCCCGCCGGAATATAGACAGAAGCTGCAAAACACCTCATTTTCTCACTCACCTGGTATGCGGGGGCCATGCAGGGGGTTTGTCAGCGCCATGCCGATTTCTGTCATCCCGTACCTCTCCAGCAGTCGATGACCCGTGACCTCCTCCCACTGCCTCATGATCGGTTCAGGCAGTGCAGCGGAACCACACACCATCAGCCTACCAAACACACATCAAAGATCTGCTCACTGTCCGTCCAAACATACATAAAAAACCTAGGCCCCTATTCTCGAAAGGATCCTATCCCCAGGCTATCCTAACTTTGATCCTAGGGTCTAGGATAGGTGTCCTACCTTATTCGCGAAAAGTATCCTAGCGCAAGGATATCCTAACTTAAGACAAGTACTAGGATAGGTTCTGATTTGTCCTAAGTCTATCTTAGTGGAAATCAACATGTTGTGGTACTTGGTTGTTGACCAATTTTTACGTTGTCAAACAAAATTACATTTGAATTTACAACAGCACACAGTTTTGATGACTTAAGAAGAGTTTATTGAGTGTATATTATCAATATTGCATAGCATTGATCAATCATAGCATAATGTTTATGTCAAGTCATGATTTTCATTAAAAAAACAAATATAATGAAAATATATTTTGCACATATCTTATTGCTTTTTCGCCCGACTTTCAAAGATGAATTTCACCCTTTCAAGCTTTTTACTTTGATTTCTAGTCTTCCCATTTATCTTGTATACGAGATTGTAGTTGCCCTTATATATATATATATGTGTTTTCATGCAATGAATCACCCGTGAAGGATATTGATCTTCAGTAACCCATGCTTGTCGTAAGAGGCTGACTCATCGTATCCCAATTGCGCAGATCGATGCTCATGCTGTTGATCACTGGATTGTCTGGTCCAGACTCGATTATTTACAGACCGCTGCCATATAGCTGGAATATTGCTGAGTGCGGCGTAAAACTAGACTCACTCACTCACTCTCACTCATGCAACGAATCATGGGTAAATATTTAGGGGAATCACCAACTTAATGAAGTTTTTTCTATCTCTAAAGAGCTTGCTATCCTAGCTAGGGTCGATAGCTCAAGTTAGGACAGGGATAGGATCATTTCGAGAATGGGTCTTATCCTAACTGTAGGATGTCCTAACTTCTGTCCTAACTAATTAAGATCTGTCTCAGCTGGGAGGCTTTCGAGAATAGGCACCCTGCTCACTATCTATCCACCAAAAACATACATCAAAGACCTGCTCACCATCAGCCTACCAAACAAGCAACAGAGATCCGCTCACCATCAGCCTACCAAACATACAACAGAGATCCGCTCATCATCAGCCTATCAAACATACAACAGAGATCTGCTCACCATCAGCCTACCAAACATACAACAGAGATCCGCTCACCATCAGCCTACCAAACATACAACAGAGATCCGCTCACCATCAGCCTACCAAACAAGCAACTGAGTTCTGCTCACCATCAGCCTATCAAACATAAAACAGAGATCCGCTCACCATCAGCCAATCAAACATAAAACAGAGATCTACTCATCATCAGCCTACCAAACATAAAACAGAGATCCGCTTACCATCAGCCTACCAAACATACAACAGAGATCCGCTCACCATCAGCCTATCAAACATACAACAGAGATCCGCTCACCATCAGCCTATCAAACATACAACAGAGATCCGCTACCATCAGCCCTATCAAACATACTAGAGATCCGCTTCACCATCAGCCTACCAAACATAAAACAGAGATCCGCTCACCATCAGCCTATCAAACATACAACAGAGATCCGCTCACCATCAGCCTACCAAACATAAAACAGAGATCCGCTCACCATCAGCCTACCAAACATACAACAGAGATCCGCTCACCATCAGCCTATCAAACATACAAACAGAGATCCGCTTACCATCAGCCTACCAAACATAAAACAGAGATCCGCTCACCATCAGCCTACCAAACATACAACAGAGATCCGCTCACCATCAGCCTACCAAACATGCAACAGAGATCCGCTCACCATCAGCCAACCAAACATACAACAGAGATCTACTCATCATCAGCCTACCAAACATACAACAGAGATCCGCTCACCATCAGCCTACCAAACATACAACAGAGATCTACTCATCATCAGCCTACCAAACATACAGAAATGTCACGATACGATACAGATCTGGATATCTTGGAACAATATGATTTGAATTGATGCATATCACGAATATGCTATCTGCAGTTATTTTCTTTAAAAAAGTATATTTTGACAGCAAGTAACAGAGTAAATTTTGACATAACCGTCAATTTCTAGTGAAAATTAACAATTTTAAGGTCAACGATACATATCACAATACGAAAAAAGGATTGATATATTTAGCATCAGATAAAGTATGATGATTATTGACAATACAATTTATTATATAGGTAGTATTTTTCCTGTACCACGATTGGTCAAAAGACCGTCACGTGATTGACTACAAAAGACGATATTGACTTGAGTTTTCTGATAAATTACGATATTGACTTGGGTTACTAAAAATAGACAAGGAATCCCGTACGAAGGGGCTTCCCCAGCTTTTCAGCCAATCAGATCACTCAGATAGATGGCACAGTGTGTGCATTAAAAGTTTATGTTAAAACCTGTTTCTCTTTGTCTATATAATAAAACAATTATAGATTCTTTAGAGGAATGATATCGGCTTTTATTGACCTGAGAAAAACAATATCGACCTCGCAAGCTCGGTGGTTATTGTTTGACTCAGGTCAATAAAAACCGATATCGACCTCTACAAGAGTCTATAATTGTATAATATCGTCACAGCTCTAATCCCCAGTAATATCCAACAGCTTCTCCCTGACCTGATCCGGGTGGAGCAAGCACTCTTGATGAAGGCCATACTCTTCCTGAATTTCCTCTCTTGGTTGAACTCATCGTCATAGTACTGAAGCAGCTTGGAGTAGATTGTTGGGACAGCCATGAAGACGTTGATCCGCACATCTCCCGGGAGAAAGTTGGTCAACCTTGACCATACCTGGTGGAAGTCAAGGGTCATAGCCTTCTGTTACACATCTCTATCTAAACTCTGAACAGGTATGAAAGTTTCATTAAGCTGCTTAGAAAAACATTATAAGTAACAAATAATACTATTTAACAGTCAGTCAAATTCCTAATATTTTTTTAGATGAATGCATTTCAAAATGTGATCAATTTTCAGTCAGCTTGATTAATATTTCTATTGTTTACAATTACAAAGTTCCAGAACATAGATGTTAATACCTGTAGATTTCATTGAAAAGAGAACGCATTTGCCTTAGTATGACAGTCTATATAGGTATTTGGAAAGTAAGTGAGTGAGTGAGTTTTCATTTTATCCGCTTTTAACAATATTCCAGCAATATCATGGCGGGGGACACCAGAAATGGGCTCCACACGGTATTTAGAAAGGTATGGAACTACATACCTTATACTAACATGTTATGGTGTTGTACGGGTGTTTCTAATACTGTTTAATCAGAACGGAGAATTTGTTTACCTTTGCTGGATTAAAACTTGGCATCATGACACAAGTGGCTCCAACAAAGAGGGGAGTCATCAGGACATTGACGATGCCGTGCACGTGATGTAGTGGAAGGACGTGAAGGACAACATCGCTGGGCTGCCACTCCCATGCCGTTATCATCCCCGACATCATGGCATGAAGGTTGCCGTGACTCAACACCACACCCTCAACACAGAAATTGAACAGGGTGTTATGTTAAAATTTCAGTTTTTGCTCTGGTCAATATGTCAACAAAAATAGACATTATTCATTATTGTTGGTCATTTTGATTGGTATTTCTAACGTCTTCTATCAAATATCACAGTAACATTGAAAGTCACACAATGGTAAGCAGGGTTTTATGTATAATACTATTAATGTGTGTCAATGCAGAAAATAAATATGTCATCCCGTAGGAGGCACAACATTAGTTACTGTACCAAATTCTTGTCAGGTTCCTGTAATCAAAGTAATTATTAAATCCTCTGGTTCAGTACAGTACAATATTTCATTACTTTACAAGACCCTCATATTTCCCATTGAGAAAGTCATTTATCATCCAAAACTGTGTTCCACAGGAGATATCGCTTGTGTGAGATCATATGATATCTCCTAGGAGATTTCGTTTTGACAGTAGATTTTGTACAATGCCCTGACAATGCTATGACATCATGAACTTGATGACATCACAATGCTATGACATCGCTGCACTGCAAATCTAATGGCAGAACCGTGTTCAGAGACGTACATTTTTCATTGAAAACTAATGAAGAGTGATTTTGGATGATAAATAGAATAAATTCCCTCGTGAAATCTTCTGAAATCAAATATATCCACACTCGTTGTTAAAATATCCTCGGCAAGCCTCGGATATTTGTAACTTTATCAACTCGTATTGATATAATTGATATCAGAAGACACTTGGGTGAGATTCTCTATATATTGAGTCATATAAGTTATTTTGAGCCCCCTCCTTGTTTTATCCATGAAGACAAAACCTGGTAAGGAAAACACAAAGTTCATGGAATGAACAGAGCCCATATGACTTTGTGAGTTATATAGAGTTTTATTTAATTACTTGACATCATTCCAACCTATTAAAGCCATCCTTTTATTCAGTGTTGGGGGAAGGAAATGTAGTGAAAAAAAAAGTCGTGCCATGAAGTACTACTGATGATCATTTTTACACAGCATCGACACCCATCTTACTGTGCTGAGGAAAGAATATAACATATTTTTTGTTGTATTTATTTCTTACTTTTGGTCGACCTGTGGTCCCGCTTGTATACACAATCATTGCTGGTTCCCGCTTGTACTGATTGGTTGCCAGAAGATCGTCATAGCGACTCTTGCTCCTCCTCCTATCCTTCTTGCTGCTGGATGCTGGATTGTCTGAGAGGAACCAGTTGTTCTGATCTCTATCATAGGACCCCATATAGTCCGACGCTTGTAGTGTCTCAATCTGGATCTTGAGGTCTTCAGAAATCGGTTGTAGTCTGTCAGCAAACGTTGTCGTGGTAACAAGCAGAGAACTCTGGGAGTCTTGGATGTAGTATACCAGGTCTGAGTCTGAGTGCAAGTTGCACAATGGAACTGCCACGCCCCCACACATCCATGTTGCCCATTGTGCAACCACATACGAAATGTCATTCTCGCACAGAAACGTCACTCTTGCACCTTCTATGCCAGTTTTGGGATTTCCATTACATCTGTTGATGATCTTCTGTGACAACAGGGAACTATAGTGCAAAATGTCATCGTAAGTGAAACGGTTGTTTTGGTCTACAATTGCTGTTCTTCCAATATGCTCTTCTGCTTTGAGGAACAGAGGAATCACGTGACTGCTTCTTGTTGCTTTGAGTTCACTAAAGCATCTTTGACATATCTGCAGTCTTCTGGCAGGGAGCAGGGGAAGATGGGATAAGGGGCGTGTTGTCAAAGACTGTCGGAGTCCTTTCAGCAATGATAAAACTGGTGGTAGTTTCATGATGAATGATCCCTTTTGAATCTGTAATGGAGAACGGCTGTAAAGCGATTGATTTAATTTGTTAACATAAACTGGTGAGGAAAAGTGAGTTGAGTTGAGTTGAGTTGAGTTGAGGTGAAGTGACAGAGAAAAACACTGCGATATAGCAATGCATATGTGTGTGTGCATGTGTGTCTGCGTGTGCGTGCATGTGTGTCTGCATGTGCATGTGTGTCTGTGTGTGCGTGCATGTGTGTGTCTGCTTGTACTACTCCACTGACATTTTCACGAGGTGGTGGAACATGGATGCCCCATCCTGACACAGTATACTGACTCTGAGCCAAGCACCAGGCAGGTTAACAACAAGCATCATCTTTTAACAGTGAGTGAGTGAGTGAGTATGGTTTTACGCCACTTTTAGCAATATTCCAGCAATATCACGGCAGGGGACACCAGAAATGGGCTTCACACTTTGTACCCATGTGGGGAATCGAACCCGGATCTTCGGCATGACGAGTGCGAACACTTTAACCACTAGGCTACCCCACCGCCTCTATTTTTTAACATCTTCTGGTATGACTGGTATGATATGGCTCGTAACTGAATCACAGCCACTCCCAATTCCGTGCAGATTCTGTACCCACTAGACCACGGAGTGATTGATGAAACAGACTGCAAATGAGCTAGCTGTGTTCCGATTAATTGAATTATCAAATATTGGTCATAATGACCTAACGACCAAGCAATCGATCACATCTCCTCATAATCTAACACAAACAATTTTGGAACTACTGTTTTAGTTTTTGAAACCCTTGAGGTTGGAACATATCTTAGATGGCCTGAAAACGTATTAATTCTTAGAAAACTCACTTCACTTACTGAAAAGTCATGACTGAATATTTCTTGAAGACTCCAGGAAGTTTATGTTCAGGATATATTAGTCATCACTTTAAAATAGGAAGTTGCATACATTTTACATTGGATGTGAATTTTGCAAACACAAATGCACAGTTTCTAAAAAAACCCAGAGAACCACATCATGCCTATCTGCAATAACAACCTGAAAAGAAAAATCTTTAAAATGATGATAAACAATTTTTTTTCGATGATTGCTCTCTGGTAATGAACCAAACATCATTTTTGAGATTTCAACCAATTCCCAACACTAAAATGACCAGAGTCCATCACCTCTATCAATTCAATATCTTGTGCTTACCACCCATAATTCATTACTCTGTCTTTTCAAATTTAAACAGTACTTTCTAACCATCATGGGAAGCAACATCTGTCTGCAGTAAAAGCAGACAAGCCTTGCTTAATAAGATTGGATGATCAGTGTGAGGCCTGTTTGGTGATGTGTCCTGACTTTAAGAATTGGTGTTCATGATATGAGTTTAGCTTTACGCCGCTTTTCAGCAATATTCCAGCAATATCATGGTGGGGGACACCAGAAATGGGCTTCACACATTATGCCCATGAGGGGAATCGAACCCGGGTGTTCGGCGTGACGAGCAAACACTTTAACCACTAAGCTACCCCACTGCCCCTTGTTTATGATATCAACCACTAGTTTTCACCTCGGCCAAATAGTATGAAGGCTAAAACATGATATGATTCATAATATCTCTGTTTTCCTTCTTGTCTAATATATATTCTACTTATTCCAGCTCATATATTTTCGCAGTTGCACATATGTTCGTTCTCATATGTACCAATGATTTTTTTATGGTGACAGACATTAAAAATATGACACGAGTATGCAATGGGGAGTGGCAGTCAAGGCTTCACCCTAGTAGGGTCATTTCTTGACTGATAAGACTACATACAGGCACATGGCTAGCTCGATTCTCATAATGGTGCCCCTCCGCTGCCATATAGCTGGAATATTGCTGAGTGCCACGATAAACAACAAACCAACCAGCCCCTAAGCAATATGGCAAGCTCCATATAGGCACATGGCTAGCTCGATCCTATGGTACCCCTAAACATATGCATGGCTAACTCGATGTTATGGTGCCCCCAAGCATATGGCTAGCTTGATGCTATGGTGCCCCTAAGCATATGCATGGCTAGCTCGATACTATGGTGCCCCCAAGCATATGGCTAGCTCGATACTATGGTGCCCCTAAGCATATGCATGGCTGTGCGCTTTGAGCATTTACTGTGAATGGAAATAGCTCGGTACAAATGGACTAAAATAAAAATAATAATAGCTCGATGCTATGGTGCCCCCAAGCATATGGCTAGCTTGAACCTATAGCGCCTTTTCTCCAAGGCCAAGGTTTCACATTACTTAGATAAATGGATGCTCAGGCTGACCTCGTCAAGAACAACATGACTGACACCATGCATCTAAGTAGGCCACTAGGTGGAGATGTTAGATTACACCACTGTTGTACGTGTAAGGTGAATTAAACCACCATCAGGAATTCTGACACTGTACATGGAACTACGATAATTCTTAACATGTACAACAACATAAACAAATGTAAGGGAACTGACACATTGGGTAGCTGGTTCAGGTGGAGTTTCAGTGCTCTCTTTCTTGGCTACATCTACTGCTAATTTGGAAGCAACCTGTTAATTTTCATCACTAATTATCTTATTAAAGTTGTTTTGTTTTTTTGTTTAACGTCACACTCAGCAATATTTCAGTTGTATAGCGGGTTTTATTAAAATGTGTTTGTCATGTCATTTTGTGTAACATAATCTGTTGTCTCGTTACTTAGATCTACAGACTACACCTCTCATGACTGTTTCCCCGTCAGTTTATCCACACATCTCTCGTAAACCTGACAGTTGGACAGAGCTAGTGTGAGTAAAATACCTCAAACCTGCATTTCATACACATACGAAATTAATGGAAATCGTCAAAATATACGTAAACCAATTACCCGTTTTACTAATCGCGGTGGAAAACATGTGCCCTCCGGTTTTTGCAAGTCGATGTCAACATGCTGGTTACGAGGCTGAATGGGAGTTACCTGCCCTTGAAAAAATGCGCACGTAAAATCGTTTGTTCTCGACATCACAAACGCATCACGTGTTTGCTTGACGCGGTTACTACAATAGGACTTCCTTGCTAAGGATGTCTCAAATCGAAATGTTTTTAATAGGTTTAAATTCCACCCAGATATAGGTTACATAAGAATTTTAGACTGAAAGTCTAATTAATTTAATTAATTAATTAAACTATATCTAACAGCATCGTATTGTTACATTCTTTATTTAAATTAGACAGCTTAGTCTCTGAATATGTATAATTTTGATAGTAACAAACAAACCCATTTAAATAGAAAAGGAACCCCAGGGAGACCAGTGATTCCGATCCTGAGGAAATCTTGACATGCTTCATTTAGGGCTTTAGCACTGCAGGGAGGGCTAGGCAGTAGGGGAAATAAGGTGGTTCAGGGACTGTGAGACGGAATCTCGACTTGCTTCATTTAGGGCTTTAGCACTGCAGGGAGGGCTAGGCAGTAGGGAAAATAAGGTGGTTCAGGGACTGTGAGACGGAATCTCGACTTGCTTCATTTAGGGCTTTAGCACTGCAGGGAGGGCTAGGCAGTAGGGAAAATAAGGTGGTTCAGGGACTGTGAGACGGAATCTAGACTTGCTTCATTTAGGGCTTTAGCATTGCAGGGAGGGCTAGGCAGTAGGGAAAATAAGGTGGTTCAGGGACTGTGAGACGGGATCTAGACTTGCTTCATTTAGGGCTTTAGCATTGCAGGAGAGGGCTAGGCAGTAGGGAAAATAAAGGTGGTTCAGGGCTGTGAGACGGAATCTCGACTTGCTTCATTTAGGGCTTTAGCATTGCAGGGAGGGCTAGGCAGTAGGGAAAATAAGGTGGTTCAGGGACTGTGAGACGGGATCTAGACTTGCTTCATTTAGGGCTTTAGCATTGCAGGGAGGGCTAGGCAGTAGGGAAAATAAGGTGGTTCAGGGACTGTGAGACGGGATCTAGACTTGGTTTCATTTAGGGCTTTAGCATTGCAGGGAGGGCTAGGCAGTAGGGAAAATAAGGTGGTTCAGGGCTGTGAGACGGGATCTAGACTTGCTTCATTTAGGGCTTTAGCATTGCAGGGAGGGCTAGGCAGTAGGGAAAATAAGGTGGTTCAGGGGGCTGTGAGACGGAATCTAGACTTGCTTCATTTAGGGCTTTAGCATTGCAGGGAGGGCTAGGCAGTAGGGAAAATAAGGTGGTTCAGGGACTGTGAGACGGGATCTAGACTTGCTTCATTTAGGGCTTTAGCACTGCAGGGAGGGCTAGGCAGTAGGGAAAATAAGGTGGTTCAGGGACTGTGAGACGGAATCTAGACTTGCTTCATTTAGGGCTTTTAGCATTGCAGGAGGGCTAGGCAGTAGGGAAAAAATAAGGTGGTTCAGGGACTGTGAGACGGAATCTAGACTTGCTTCCATTTAGGGCTTTTAGCACTGCAGGGAGGGCCAGGCAGTAGGGGAAATAAGGTGGTTCAGGGGCTGTGAGACGGAATCTAGACTTGCTTCATTTAGGGCTTTAGCATTGCAGGGAGGGCTAGGCAGTAGGGAAAATAAGGTGGTTCAGGGACTGTGAGACGGGATCTAGACTTGCTTCATTTAGGGCTTTAGCATTGCAGGGAGGGCTAGGCAGTAGGGAAAATAAGGTGGTTCAGGGCTGTGAGACGGGATCTAGACTTTGCTCCATTTTAGGGCCTTTAGCATTGCAGGGGAGGGCCAGGCAGTAGGGCTTTTAAAATAAAAATAAGGTGGTTCAGGGCTGTGAGACGGGATCTAGACCTTGCTTCATTTAGGGCTTTAGCATTGCAGGAGGGCCAGGCAGTAGAAGGAAAAATAAAGGTGGTTCAGGGACTGTGAGACGGGGATCTAGACTTGCTCCTGCTCCATTTAGGGCCTTTAGCATTGCTGCAGGGAGGGCCAGGCAGTAGGGAAAACAATAAGTGGTTCAGGGGCTGTGAGACGGGAATCTAGACTTGCTTCCATTTAGGGCCTTTTAGCATTGCAGGGAGGAGCTAGGCAGTAGGGAAAATACAGGGCTGTGAGACGGATGGTTCCAGGGCCCAGCATGCAGACGGCGGTAGGGAAAACAGTCCTGTGAGGGAATAATGGACTGACCCACTTTAGGAATACCTAGGGCTGTAGTGGTTCAGGAACTGTGAGATGGAACTCTAATTTGTTTCCATTTAGGACTGCAGGAGGGCCAGGGCAGTAGGAAAAATCAAGGTGGTTACAGGAAAATGTGGAGACGGAACGGTCCAGGACTTGCTTCCATTTAGGGCCTCTAGCATCGCAGGGAGGGCCAGGCAGCAGGGTAAAAATAAGGTGGTCCAGGGACTGTGAGACGGAATCAGGACCAGCCTTCCATCGAGGACAGGAGCACTGCAGGGAGGACCAGGAAGGAAGGAAACCATCAGACGGGTCCAGGAGGACCGTGACGAATCCTGGACCTGTGGAGACGGACCCCACACTGCAGGGAGGGCTAGGCAGTAGGAAAACGAAGGTGGTCCAGGACCCAGACGGACCGACAGGACCAGTACTGGCAGTTGAGGCACAGGAGCAGTGGCAGAGGGAGGACCACAGGTCCAGGGCCGTGAGACGGAACCCAGACTTGCTGTCCATTTAGGGCCCCTAGCACTGCAGTGGAGTGGCCAGGGCAGCAGGGAAACAAGGTGGTTCAGGGCTGTGAGACGAGATCGGACCTGCACGGGCCTTTAGCATCAGGCAGGAAAAAATGGTGGTCCAGGCAGGGAAACCCAGACCGTGAGACGGGATCTTAGACCAGCACGGGCCTTTAGCACTGCAGGAGTGCCAGGCAGTAGCCCAGGGCCGGAGAGAACGGACCTGTTCAACAGGGCTTCCTAGTGGGTGGAGGGCCAGACGAAAAATATGTGGTTCCCGTGAGGATCCTCGACCTTGACCACGGACCCAGGAGCCTGCACAAGGCCCAGGCACAGGAAACCAATGCCGAACCAGGGCACACACAGGAACCATGGAGACGGATCCCACGACCAGGCAGGGCCAGCACAGGAAACGAAGGAGGACCCAGGACCGGACCAAGCACAGGAGGGCCTTTAATATGGAGACGGTGAGGAACTTGAAGTACATGTGGAAAAGGGCCGTAAGGAAACCCAGGTGGAAGGAGACAGGACTTGAAGGGCATACTGCAGTGGAAATAAGGAACAGAAGGAGACGGACTGACTTCAGGACACAGTGGCAGCAGTAGGAAAAATAATGGAGCCCAGGGACTGTGAGACGGAATCTTGACTTGAATGCAGAGTAGGAATAGTGGAAAGTGAAGGATGGACATGGATGGACGGCTTGACATGAAGGGAAAATAAGGTGGAAGGATGACCCAAAATGAAGGAAGGAACAGGGAGGAAGTAGTGTGGAAATAAGGAATGGAGATGGACGGATGGAACATGAAGGGGGAAATAATGGAAGGAGATGGATGAAATGACGGAAAAGGAGGGAGGGGAGTGAAAGGAAGGATGGACAGAATCAAGATGAAGTGGAAGGAGAAGGAAGGGAAATAATGGGACTGGACTGGAAATGGACTTGAAGAAGGAAGAAGGGTGGAAATAAGGGAAGGGATGGATCTTGACAGACGAGTATTGTAGGGACTTGTAGTGGAAGGTGGAAATGGATGGAATGACGAAAGGAAGGACAGGGCAGGAAGCTGGAAAATAGGGAAACAGGGAGGAATGGAATGGATGAAAGGAAGGGTTTAGGTGGTGGAAGGGAAGGTAGGGAAGGGAGGATGGAATGGACGGAAGGAAGGGGGTAGGGAAGGTGGTGGAAGGAAAAGCCATGAAGGGACGGAATGGAGACCAAGACGGAAAGCTTTAGGGCTTTAGCATTGCAGGGAGGGCTAGGCAGTAGGGAAAATAAGGTGGTAGGGACTGTGAGACGGGATCTAGACCTTGCTTCATTTAGGCCTTTTAGCATTGCAGGAGTGGCTAGGCAGTAGGGAAAAATAATGGTGGTTCAGGGCTGTGAGACGGGATCTAGACCTTGCTTCATTTAGGGCCTTTAGCATTGCAGGGAGGTCTAGGCAGTAGGGAAAATAATGTGGTTCAGGGACTGTGAGACGGAAATCTAGACTTGCTTCATTTAGGGCCTTTAGCATTGCAGGGAGGGCTAGGCAGTAGGGAAAATAAGGTGGTTCAGGGACTGTGAGACGGAATCTAGACTTGCTTCATTTAGGGCTTTAGCATTGCAGGGAGGGCCAGGCAGTAGGGGAAATAAGGTGGTTCAGGGGCTGTGAGACGGAATCTAGACTTGCTTCATTTAGGGCTTTAGCATTGCAGGGGGCTAGGGCAGTAGGGAAAATAAAGGTGGTTCAGGGCTGTGAGACGGGATCTAGACTTGCTTCCATTTTAGGGCTTTTAGCATTGCAGGGAGGGCCAGGCAGTAGGGAAAATAATGTGGTTCAGGGCTGTGAGACGGGATCTAGACTTTGCTTCCATTTAGGGCTTTAGCATTGCAGGGAGGGCTAGGCAGTAGGGAAAATAAGGTGGTTCAGGGCTGTGAGACGGGAATCCTCGACTTGCTTCATTTAGGGCTTTAGCATTGCAGGGAGGGCTAGGCTGTAGGGAAAATAATGTGGTTCAGGGGACTGTGAGATGGAATCTCGACTTGCTTCCATTTAGGGCTTTAGCATTGCAGGGAGGGCTAGGCAGTTGGAAAAATAAGGTGGTTCAGGGGCTGTGAGACGGGATCTAGACTTGCTTCATTTAGGGCTTTAGCATTGCAGGGAGGGCTAGGCAGTTGGAAAAATAAGGTGGTTCAGGGACTGTGAGACGGAATCAAGACTCTGCTTCCATTTAGGGCTTTAGCATTGCAGGGAGGGCCAGGCAGTTGGAAAAAATAAGGTGGTTCAGGGAGTGAGACGGAATCTGGACTTGCTTCATTTAGGGCTTTAGCATTGCAGGGAGGGCTAGGCAGTAGGGAAAATAAGGTGGTTCAGGGAGTGAGACGGAATCTCGACTTGCTTCATTTAGGGCTTTAGCATTGCAGGGAGGGCCAGGCAGAAGGGAAAAATAAGGTGGTTCAGGGACTGTGAGACGGAATCAAGACTTTGCTTCATTTAGGGCTTTAGCATTGCAGGGAGGGCTAGGCAGTAGGGAAAATAAGGTGGTTCAGGGACTGTGAGACGGAATCTCGACTTGCTTCATTTAGGGCTTTAGCATTGCAGGGAGGGCTAGGCAGTAGGGAAAATAAGGTGGTTCAGGGACTGTGAGACGGAATCTAGACTTGCTTCATTTAGGGCTTTAGCATTGCAGGGAGGGCTAGGCAGAAGGGGAAAATAATGTGGTTCAGGGACTGTGAGACGGAATCAAGACTTGCTTCATTTAGGGCTTTAGCATTGCAGGGAGGGCCAGGCAGTTGGAAAAATAAGGTGGTTCAGGGAGTGAGACGGAATATCGACTTGCTTCATTTAGGGCTTTAGCACTGCAGGGAGGGCTAGGCAGTAGGGAAAATACGGTGGTTCAGGGACTGTGAGACGGAATCTCGACTTGCTTCATTTAGGGCTTTAGCATTGCAGGGAGGGCCAGGCAGTTGGAAAAATAAGGTGGTTCAGGGAGTGAGACGGAATATCGACTTGCTTCATTTAGGGCTTTAGCATTGCAGGGAGGGCTAGGCAGTAGGGGAAATAAGGTGGTTCAGGGACTGTGAGACGGAATCTAGACTTGCTTCATTTAGGGCTTTAGCATTGCAGGGAGGGCTAGGCAGTAGGGAAAATAAGGTGGTTCAGGGGCTGTGAGACGGAATCTAGACTTGCTTCATTTAGGGCTTTAGCATTGCAGGGAGGGCTAGGCAGTAGGGAAAATACGGTGGTTCAGGGACTGTGAGACGGAATCTAGACTTGCTTCATTTAGGGCTTTAGCATTGCAGGGAGGGCTAGGCAGTAGGGAAAATAAGGTGGTTCAGGGACTGTGAGACGGAATCAAGACTTGCTTCATTTAGGGCTTTAGCATTGCAGGGAGGGCCAGGCAGTTGGAAAAAATAAGGTGGTTCAGGGAGTGAGACGGAATCTAGACTTGCTTCATTTAGGGCTTTAGCATTGCAGGGAGGGCTAGGCAGTAGGGAAAATAAGGTGGTTCAGGGACTGTGAGACGGGTCTTGACATGCTTCATTTAGGGCTTTAGCACTGCAGGGAGGGCTAGGCAGTAGGGGAAATAAGGTGGTTCAGGGACTGTGAGACGGAATCTCGACTTGCTTCATTTAGGGCTTTAGCACTGCAGGGAGGGCTAGGCAGTAGGGAAAATAAGGTGGTTCAGGGACTGTGGGACGGAATCTAGACTTGCTTCATTTAGGGCTTTAGCATTGCAGGGAGGGCTAGGCAGTAGGGAAAATAAGGTGGTTCAGGGACTGTGAGACGGAATCTAGACTTGCTTCATTTAGGGCTTTAGCATTGCAGGGAGGGCTAGGCAGTAGGGAAAATAAGGTGGTTCAGGGACTGTGAGACGGAATCAAGACTTGCTTCATTTAGGGCTTTAGCATTGCAGGGAGGGCTAGGCAGTAGGGAAAATAAGGTGGTTCAGGGACTGTGAGACGGAATCTCGACTTGCTTCATTTAGGGCTTTAGCATTGCAGGGAGGGCTAGGCAGTTGGAAAAATAATGTGGTTCAGGGACTGTGAGACGGAATCAAGACTTGCTTCATTTATGCCCCAGCAAACCATGGTTACATTAATAGGCGACAAAACTGATAAGGTGGTCAGGCATAGTGACTTGGTCGATTACATGTCATCGTTTCCCAGATGCGTTCATTCCATGTTCATGTCGTCAGTCATGAGAGTGATTGTCGTCATTTGGCTGGAATCACATTGTGTCACCCGTGAAGATACGGGTTAGAACTGATCGCTGATCGACCTTCAGTAACCCATACTTGTCGTAACAGGCGACAAACGGGGTCGGGTTGTCAGGCTCGCTGACTTGGTTGGCACATGTCATCGTATCCCAATTGCGTAGACTGATGCCCATGCTATTGATCACTGGATTGTCTTGCCCAGACTCGATTATTTACAGACCGCTGCCATATAGCTGGAATATTGCTGAGTGCCGCGTTAAACAACAAACCAAAATATCTGTGCTCGCTTCCGTAAGATCTGGCTTTAACTCAGTATCTGTAATATACTTCATATAAAGCCAAACATGTAAAATAATATTTAGCAGTTACTAGTTATTAGAACAATGTTTTATAACCACCTGTTAACTGGGTGTTAAATTTCACCCAAACATATGTTAAATAACGTACAACAGCATCATATTGTAACATTCTTTGCTAACACATAGATACATCAGACCAAAAAAAATCATATTTTGGCATTCGCCACGAACATCATGATTTGAAAATATTAACCAAATAATCTCTGGAATTTTGTGTTAAGAAGAACCTCATGTATGGTTGACATCTTCTTCGTCATAATATAATAACTCATTTTATACCCTTGTCAAACAAGTCACTGAAAATATGATAAAGAAGTTGTGATCCTTAAAGTGTTTTACCTTTCTTATTATTGAAATATCACTATCAAAGGTTTTATTTCAACACATATTTCTTATGAAGGTTATGTTTAGCTATTTACAAAGAGTTACACGTTTAAAAGGAATCCCCCCAAAGTACTTCTTTTTTCCACTCTCTTATCCCAAGAGACCGCCTCCGTGGTGTAGTGGTTAGAGCGTCCGCCCGGAGAGCGGAAGGTCGTGGGTTCGATCCCCGACCGCGTCATACCAAAAGACGTTAAAATATGGTACTTGTTGGTCCCTGTCTGGCGCTCGGCATTAATGGGTACAACAAGGACTGGTCGGCTCGGAGTCTGTATAATGTGTCTGAGTGGGGTATTCATGCTTCACTGCGGCATGGTATCTCAGTGGGCTAGCACTATAAAACCAGCTTAAGTCAGGGCTAGTACAATCAGCCGCACATACACATACACACGCATACACGTCTTCGTATGAGCGAAATATTCTCAAGTACGACTTAAAACCCAATTTCACCTCCCCTCACCTCTTATCCTAGTTGACTGAAACGCAGTGAAAGTCTGACATTAACAAACCCGTTTTGTAAATATAAAGAAATATGGAGATTAAATGATTTAACTTTTTAATACATTGAGTTTTTCTTCGGATTTTGTTTTAAATGACACTACCTCACCAACTACAAATGTCAGATTATAAATTCTTGTTTTGTTCATTATTACACAAGCCACGGCGAAATGTTCTGTGTAGGGTACCTAGCTGTCATTTGTAGGCTCAAATATATTCAGTTCATATTGCCTTGGTGTGCTCGTGATCCCTTTTATCAGGTAACTTATCATTTCCAACCTCATTTTCACGTGGAATCATGTTTATATTTGAGCAGACCGTACTAAACATGACGTACGTTCTGAGACCTAAATTAAGGAATTGGTAAGGTGCTCGTGACCTGGTTCACAGTCACGTGAGTAATTGTATACCCGATATATAAACCGATCAAATCATACCCATGTGATGCAAATGCAACTATAAAAGATATGATTGCGTTGAGCCAAACGCATTGAACACTGAGGAGAAACAGACACCTTAGTGGATCCAAAATGTCCAGACTATCAGGGATCAATGGCTCTGGGATGTATTTCCCAGGACTCAAAATCATGGTACGTCAGCTAGCTTTGATCACGTTTGTTTGGTTTGTTGGAGTGTTTTAAATCATGTTGCAATGTACACAAAATCAACTATTGTCTCTCCTATCTGTCGATCTGTCAGTTTAGTTTATTTGAACCACCAATTTTGAAAACAAATGACGTGTAATGAGTGATAGTTTTGTCGTGGTCTTTCAACCATGATAGGAGTGTTATCTCCCCTAGAAAGCGATCATGTGACCAGGTTGTCGGAAGTAATACGCCATGTTTATCTGAATCACCGAATAGTCTTTCGAATCGAAGTATAATTCCTTAACAAGGCCCATATTTAGCTGTTTATCGTGAAATTCACAAATGGCAGGAGGTACACTTCAGGTGAGATGAGTCAAACATATCTTTCGGTTCTTATTATTTTGTTTTCGACAGGCGTCTGCTGAAGGAATCGCCTCGCCTCCTCATTTGTTTTGTTCTGTGTTATTTCGCAACGCGGACATAGTGGAAGTTAATTTCCCCCACAATATTGAAATTATGGCTTTTAGAAAAGATTGTTTACATTGGTATTGGGAAATGGTAATCGTTTCAGACCGATTTAAGTATTGACATAGCATAACTGGTTGTTCCGGGCACCTGTCATTTTTAGGTGTCGCAATGAGTTAAAATGTAAACAAATATCGTCTCGGTCTACTCGTGGATCTTATTTATAGTCAAGGCTTTCACGTTTAATGTGGAGAATCAGGGCTATTTTGTAAAGTATATTAGTAATTTGATCATGTATGTATAAACATAAAATTCTACCTGTTAAGAATCGAAAAAATATTTGGTCAGGTGCATGTGACAGTCACAGTCACCTGAGTCATTAAAAACCCTTCATGTCTATGTCGACTCCTAGATCACTGCCATGTGAAAAAAACATATCTGACAGACTGAGAACAAAATGTAGTTAACTAAACGTGCTTACCATGCATTCAGCATGCCAAAATTATCTGGTACCAATGGCACTGACAGACAGACAGACAGATATTGTATTTAAGTCTCACCTCATGTAAAAGTACAGATATATACACACATACACATAAAATGAGCCACCTTTAAGGGTTATGAGAGACTATTATATAGACATGTGTTTTACTCAAAATCATGGTATTTACTAATCCTTTGCAGTTTTTTGTTTTCATTTTCTTTGATTCATGTTTAAAAGTAGATGAGGTTACCAAAAACTTATTCTTTGTTTAATTTGATAGCAATATTAATGTTGATTTGATCTTTAGCACTGTTTACTAACACCAAACACACATTGTTTGGAATTGTGGTTAGTTTCACCATGTTCACATTCAAGGCAATTCATTGAATGGCATTTTCAGGTTAAACCACAAACAGCAATACTGATTACATCATTTAAAAAATCTGTTAAAGATTAAAGTTATCAGTGTCTTCCTTTAGATATATTCAAGATAGTTCTCTCTTACTTATCATGTTATATTTTCTAAGCTGAAAATATATGTTATTGTTAAAGGCACAATGTCACAAATTTTCAACAATATTTTGGCCTATATTATATATATTTGGGCATATGCCTGAAATCGATAATTGAAACTTTGAGACTAACACTTGCCATATATGGAATAGCTGCCTATTGATGCAACATTGCATTAATTCATTCAAACGCTTGAAATAATGTTTTTCAATATTAATATTGCATTAATTCATTCAAATTTTCAATATTAATATTGTAATCTAAATGCGTATTTTTTTTTAATAAATCATATGGTAGCTTCCTGAGGGCTGATAGTTAGTATTATTGAGAGAAATGTATTATTTAGTTTTAGATTGATTGAGTTTAGTTTTATGTCAGCTCTCAGACTCTCAGCAATATTACAGCTGTATGGCTGTGGGGTACAGTCTGTGTAAAAATCGAGCCTGGGCCAGACAATCCAGTAATCAACAGCATGAGCATCGATCTACACAATTGGGATACGATGACATTTGTCAACGAAGTCAGCTAGCCTGCCCACCTGATCCCGTTAGTCACCTCTTACGACAAGCATGGGTTACTGAAGGCAAATGCTAACCCGGATCTTCATGGGTGTTTATTTTTAGAGAAGTGTGGTGTCACATAGTGCCTTTTAATAAGCAGTTACGATAGTCATTGTGGTTTGAATGAATCACATTAAAATCAGGTCTTTTATTTGGGTATGACACCTATCAGTCAATATGATCATAATTACTGATAATGGATTATGACAATGATCATATATAATAATGAAGAGCTTTAGTTTTCTTGCTTGGAAATACTAATGAAGTTGACTGTTACTGAGTGTAATTAACTGTATCATGTCTGTCAACGTCTATTGTGCCCGATATTTGAGAAAGTCTATCAGTTCGGAAGTGATTAATCAATGACATCGTACTACTGGCATATATGCATGTGTATGAGGAAGATGATGATGAACCTATGAATTGTTATATGTGAGACACTAAAATATTTTCATAATGTGCATGTCTGAATGTGCAAAGGCTATGCCCAATGTTGTTGATGTGCAGCACAAAACACCAATGTTTTCCCCATGTTTATCATAACCTAGTTTCCTTCAAATGTTTCAGAAAGCAATTGACCTTGTTACTAAGGCAACAGAAGAGGACAAGAACAAAAACTATGAAGAGGCTCTTCGTCTTTATGAACATGGAGTAGAATACTTCCTGCATGCCATCAAATGTAAGAAATACTCACTTTTATACCTTGTGCTGAGGTCCAGACTGTGTTTAATGTGTCATCATGATCAAATAATCCTTGGTATCAGTAGCATTAGATCATGTTCATGATGTTTGGCCCTGTTTAATACAAATCCTGATTCCCAATCCTAATCTGGAGCTCCCACAATTCAACCTTTTTTACATTTTTTTTCTTCTTGCGTTGCATAATAGCTGTTATAATGTTTATCCCCATTTTGGTTTTATCCACATATTTTTCCTTATCCTGACTCATGATGATTGCTTATCACCCTTTCCTATGCGAATGGTAGTGGAACACTTGAATCCTTTGTAGTTCCCTAAAGCGGACGTAAAAGTACACTCACCCACGAGTTACCTCCCTTTTGCCCTTTCTTGCGCAAACAGTCATGTGACCAGCCTTACTTGTCACTCTCTCCCTTTTCGTCCAAGCGGATGGTTGGGTGAGCACCGGAGTCCCGTATACGGCATATATCCTTTATATTTAGATCCTATTTATTGAAATTACGCTGTGTATGGTATTTGGCTATAATTAACATAGATTATATGTAAAACTTTTGAAGTGTGTCCTGTCAGAACCTTGAAGATATACCTTCAAAAGACCAAAACAAGGAGAAGAAAATTCAAGCGGCTATTCATCCCCTTGTCGACGGAGACATCAGTGGAAGTCTCAAGAACGACAATATCGTTTTGGATGAGAAGTGTTATACTAAATGCCTACAAAGCAGCAGGACTAGAACCTCCAAGAGCTTCCAACCCACACGAAGTCAGAGCACTTGCGTCAACACTGGCGAAAATTGCTCTATGTCATCAATTATGGAGGGCTGCTATTGGAAGTCGGAGACGGTGTTTGCCAACCACTACCTCCGAGACATAGCCACCGAAGACGTCTCCGTCATTCACCAGTTTGGGCCTCTCATTGTAGCACAGCAACTAATGGTTCCACAAAGGCGCTGAGTTGGAAATCTCACCCTTTATCAGTTTGAAAGTCCATGTGCACAGTCCAGACTAGGCATGAGTGATTAAGACTCTGTACGGGTAGAGATCTTGCCTGTACGTTAAGGGGTCGCAATTCATTTATAATAAAAAGATCTTATCATAATCTATGGGTTGTTATAGATAACTAGTAAAAGAAGATACTAGTATATCTTAAGCCACATGAATCTACAAGATTCAACTTGTCTGAGAGAGAAGTAAGACAAGTTATAATGGAGTTGGAAGAATAGGATCTAGGAAATGCCGTTACGCAGTTCCCATGGGGGGGATACAGGACGTATCTAAGGACATCTGATGAATCCAGGAAGTGGCTTGACCCACCTCCAATCCGAAGGATTCTATAAGCAAAGATCATGAGTCAGGATAAGGAAAAATATGTAACTTTTAAGTAAAATTGATATTTTATACTTATCCTGACTCATGAAAAGAAGCCCTCCCAGCCTCCCCGCTGGAAACACTTCGGATTTCACAGTAGATCCAGGTGCATGGGCAGAAAAATCAGGAGAGAGTGACAAGTAAGGCTGGTCACATGACTGTTTGCGCGTGAAAAGGGCAAAAGGGAGGTAACTCGTGGGTGAGTACTTTTACGTCTGCTTTAGGGAACTACAAAGGATTCAAGTGTTCCACTACCATTTGCATAGGAAAGGGAGATAAGCAAAGATCATGAGTCAGGATAAGTATAAAATATCAATTTTACTTAAAAAATTACATTTTTTGCCACTTGCAGATGTGTAGGTTGCATTTCATTGTTGATAGACATTATCTGCAACACGTGCAGAGGAACATGCTTGTGCATGAATGAGATCAACTTTGTTTTATTGTGCATTTTGCTGCATCTGTCACAGTTTGTCATTCATATTGGTTGTGCAAAATGCTATTTTTGTGGACTCTTTTGATGGATCTTTTGAGGGAACAGGTGGCCCATTCTGATGGGCAGCAGTTTGATGTGTATGAACTGAATCACATTGGGCTTTCCACCCACATCAAGCTGAAATGCCTAAAACAACTGAAATACTGTGGATGGGTGGTGATAAACCCATGTTGCGTATTCCCTCAATTAGTCTTTGCAGGTTCTGTCAATACTTGTGTGTGGAAAATGGGACAAAAAATGTTAACGTCTCAATATGGACACCACTGGTGACCAGGTACTTATGATAATCTTATAGGCCATCTAATAGTCGCACATACTTCCGTTGTATGTAATGGGACTAAAGCATTATAAGCTAGGCTGTTGTAGAAACCAAGCTGGTGTTCAATATAGGCAAACATTATGGATAAAAACATCTTTCTTTCGTGAGTGGGGACGGTGGGGTAGTCTAGTGGTTAAAGCGTTGGCTCGTCACGCCGAAGACCCAGGTTCAAATCTCCACATGGGTACAATGAGTAAAGCCCATTTCAGGTGTCCCCTGCCGTGATATTGCTGGAATATTGCTAAAAGTGGCGTAAAACCAAACTCAGTCAGTCAGTCTTTCGTGAGTGCGATGTTTCGATACAGATTCTCGTACCATTTGTCTAGCAGGAATGACCCTGGTTGTTTCCTGATTTTAGATGAGGCTCAGAGCGACAAAGCTAAGGAGAGTATTCGAGGAAAATGCATCCAGTACCTGGAAAGGGCAGAGAAGCTCAAACAGTATGTCAACAAGAAGAACAAGAAGAAGCCAGTGATGGATGGTGAGAGTTCTTCTGGTGGGGAAGAAGTCAGGGTAAGAATAGTGATGCTTTTTTTGTCATGTAAATGTTAATGACTATTGGCATTAACCATCAGTTTGTATTCAGAGCAGAAATAATTCTTGTGCGATATTTAAGTTATATGGTAATCATGGTAATTGGAAGGTCACTGTTGTTGCAGTGTGTTCAGAGTAACGGGACAGGTGGATGCACTTACACTGTAGTCAACAACATTTCAGCAATGTGACATTAGCCGGTAAATATTGGTTCAACAGAGTGATGTCATCTGTATCCTTGGGGCAGGTTGACACACTATCTGATTTGTCACACTTTTCAGCCACATGATCTTTGCTAGATGTTTTGGTGTGATGGACTTATTCTGCCCAAGAAGCTCAACAGCTTCATTTTCAGAGAATAGTGTCCAGGGCCCTTATTCTCGAAACGTTCGTAGCCCTAAGAAATCTTAACTTCGATTGTAGCCAATGTGTTAAGAATGGGCGTAAGAAGTTCGTAGGCCTACCAACGTTTCGAGAATAGCTAGCCAGGTGCACTATTTTCATGATTTGAACACCTTTTGCTGAATTAATGATTTAATTGCTTTCCTTGGCCTTGCTTTACCATTTTTACATCTTGATATCAGAGAATCCAAGAACAATGATGATTCAAGTGATGAAGACTCCGACAAAGACCCAGAGAAGAAAAAGTTCCAGACTCAGCTGACAGGTGAGTGTTAAACCTACCTTGACATAGTAAAGGGAATTCTTTTGTCAGGTCTATTTTGTTTGAGCATGTCAAGTTCAGAAATGATTACTGTCTTGACAGAATGGAAACTGCAAGAGCATGTGGAGCATAAATTGGTTTATACAATCTCAAACCAATTAAAAATAAAGTCTGTGTGAGTGTAGTATTCACCTATGGGGATTAGGCCTGCAGCAACCCATGCTTGTTTCAAGTAGTGACTAAATGAATACTGTTGTCAGCATTGGTGATTTTGTTGAATGGATTGAGTCCGCACGAGAATAGAAGATTGCGGTAAATTATGGTACTTGTTGGTTCCTGGCGTTAGCATTAATGGGTGCAACAACGATTGGTCAGCTCGGAGTCTTTATAATGTGTCTGAGTGGGGTATTCATGCTTAACTGCGGCATGGTATCTCAGTGAGCTAGCACTATAAAACAGCTTAAGTTTGGGCTGATATTAGCAGCCACACATATACACACATGTACGTCATCATATGGGTGAAATATTCTCAAGCATGACGTTAAACCCAATTTCACCTCACCTTACACCTTGAATGGATTGATGCTCATAATATCAGTCACAGGATTGTATGGACCTGGATTATTTACTGACTGCTGTTGTATAGGTGGAGCATTAAACATGATGATCATACCAACCAACAAACAAGCCTATTATTAAATGATGTTTCTATTTCCAGGGGCTATTGTTATGGAGAAGCCAAATATCCGCTGGGAGGATGTGGCTGGTCTTGAGGGAGCCAAGGAAGCCTTAAAAGAGGCTGTTATTCTACCTGTCAAGTTCCCACATTTGTTCACAGGTATGTAAAATTATGGGTGCCATGTATGACTTGTTTAGTTATATGTTAAGGCTGACAGTAATCGGTCTGTCATGTTCATAAATAATATCTACGTTGTCAAGCAATCTGTTTCTGGAAAAATGTAATGAACATTTATTGTTTTAGACAGCAAATAGTGAAAAATTTCTTTTGATAAATCTGTTCATGTTGAGAATGGCAATAGGGCTAGGATAATACCTGAAGCAGTGAATTGGATTTCAGTCCATGAAATGCAAATCTTCATGCTGATGTGTACATCAATGATATGCTTAATATATTTCATGGAAGAAATCCAAGATTGTTCAACTATATTGCTCCAAAGCATTGGCATGACAGGCTGACTGTAGTAGTGTGAGATTAACTGTAGTTATGTCTAAGATTTGAGTGGACCTTTACCTTTTTATAGTAGCATAGAATCAGAATCAGGAACACTATAAAGGTTTTGTTTTGTGTGTGTTTCAGGCAACAGAAAACCCTGGAGAGGAATTCTTCTGTTTGGGGTAAGTTCACAGATCATTAATTACAGTATTCCCACATTGAAGCTCCTGGGTAGAGTCAGTCCGAAGAAGGGTTGTCTGAAGGGTTAATAAAACAGAATGGTGTCTTCGTTGGTGATTTTGCACACATTTCATTGTGTTCTGATAGTGTAAAAATTAGTGCTTATGTTTTCATCCAGTTTCCTTCATCCAGACTGCGGAACAACACTCACTCACTCACTCGGTTGAGAAAAAACCCAAGCCTGTATGTGGAAATTAGTTAACTTGGTAGTCTATAAGAAAGAATATGCTTTGGTTAATCAAGGTCATGATAGTTGAGAAATATTTTAATGGATAAACTGATAACTTACTCGGCAAACATTTTAGAGAAAAATCTTAAAGCTTACCTTTGAAAGTGCCTGCATTATTATGTTGATTTTAATTTCAGCCCCCAGGAACTGGCAAGTCTTTCTTAGCCAAGGCTGTTGCTACAGAGGCCAACAACTCCACCTTCTTCTCTGTGTCATCTTCAGATCTTGTCTCCAAATGGCTGGGAGAGAGTGAAAAGTATGTTACACATCTGTTGGCTATAGTGTGATTTTGTGTATCTTGTCATGAATGTAGATATATTTCTGATTTTACTTTTTTAACACAAAACCATCTGTTCCATCTGGGTACACCTTTTCAGAAATGAAAGTAGACATCCAGACCACATTCCAAGTACCCTATCGTTCTCGTAAGAGTTGACTAGATGAGCATAAGGTGTGTGACCAGGATGATAACCAGTCATTTTATCCAGCGGTAGAATGGCTCACTGCTCATGCTATCAACTGTTCTGGATCAGGCATGACAGGATTTCTGACCAGCTTCTGAGATACTGATATTTTACTGACTTTGGATGTTAAAACATTCACACACACACAGAATTTAGCTTGGAAAATTATGAATATCTTTAATGTGATTTTCTAGATCTCAAAAGGTATTTTTATTTCTGCTACCATGATCCTCGAATGTTGTAGATGTCATTCCAAATGACTGAAAATTACACCACAGTAAGAAGTGACATTTGCATTGGTGTATTTCCATGAAGACATTTCTTCAAAGTTAGGTTATTTTTTTCAGGTTAGTGAAGACACTGTTTGAACTTGCACGAGAGAACAAACCCAGCATCATCTTCATTGATGAGGTAGATGCCCTGTGTGGCTCTCGTAGTGAGAATGAGTCAGAGTCCGCTCGGAGAATCAAAACAGAGTTTCTAGTCCAGATGCAGGGAGTCGGGAATGACAATGACAACGTTCTCGTCCTTGGAGCAACAAATATCCCATGGAGTCTTGACTCAGCCATCAGGAGAAGGTATGTGTCCTCAGCCATATCGTAACATCACATGTGATATTCTGTGACATTGTCAGGTTAACATGTTAATGACCTACTGTCTTTCTATGTGACCGAAGTACCCTGAATTGAAAAAAGTATTGATGCCAAATTTACTATAACACTACTCTCGATCCAAGAGTAATGTACTTCTGTGACTTAATTGTTGCCAAGGCAAGTAATGGTAATAATTAACACAATAATTTAGCTGGGAAAGATTCAGTCCACTTAGTTTCTTGATTTAATGTTCCCAAGTCATATTACAGACTTTATTTGATTTCTTTTTATGTTTAACCCATGAAGGTCCAGGTTAGAATATTGATCTTCAGTAACCCATGCTTGTCGTAAGAGGCGACTATTGGGATCGGGTGGTCAGGCTCGCTGACTTGGTTGACACATGTCATTGGTTCCCAATTGCGCAGATCGATGCATATGCTGTTGATCACTGGATTGTCTGGTCCAGACTCGATTATTTACAGACCGCCGCCATATAACTGGAATATTGCTGAGTGCGACGTAAAACTAAACTCACTCACTCACTCTTTTTATGTTTCATTTTTTGAGTAAGAGTGAATTTACCTGGTATGAAGTGTAGTTGGAAGAAATATGAAGATGAGTCTTGTGGTGACCCTTGTTACTGTCAAGTGTTTGCTACCTGTTAATATCTGCTCAAGGAGCCGTATTGTTGCATATTTCATGTGAGTTTGGTTTTTCGGAGGTCTGGGGGCGGTAGGGTAGCCTAATAGTTAAAGCGTTGGCTCGTCACGCCGAAGACCTGAGTTTGATTCCCCACATGGGCACAATGTGTGAAGCGCATTTCTGGTGTACCCTGCTGTGATATTGCTGGAATATTGCTAAAAGCGGCGTAAAACCATACTTACTGTTCAGAGGTCTAAAGTTATTTATGACAAAATGTGATTGTGTTTCAGATTTGAGAAGAGAATTTATATACCCCTCCCTGAGGCTCCAGCCAGAACTGAAATGTTCAAACTACATCTCGGCTCCACACCACACCAGCTGAATGATGAAGACTTCAGAGAACTTGGGTTGAAGACAGATGGGTAGGTCCACGGAATTGTTTAAACTGTAGGCACATGGGACAGGATAGATGGGTATTTCCATGGAACAGGATAAATGGGTGGGTCCATGAAGCTGCATATATGGTTTGTCCATGGAACTGGATAAATGGGGTTGTCCATGGAACTGGATAGATGAGTTGTCCATGAAACTGGATAGATGAGTTGTCCATGAAACTGGATAGATGGATGGATCCATGAAACTGGATAGATGGATGGATCCATGAAACTGGATAGATGTCCATGGGATAGATGGATGGTCCATGAAACTGGATAGATAGATGAGGTCCATGAAACTGGATAGATGATAGATGGATGGATCCATGAAACTGCATAGATGGAGTTGTCCATGAAACTGAATAGATGAGTTGTCCATGAAACTGATAGAATGGATGGATCCATGAAACTGGATGATGATAGAAACTGGATAGATGAGTTGTTCATGAAACTGATAGATGGATGGATCCATGAAACTGGATAAATGGGGTTGTTCAGAACTGATAGATGGGGAGTTCCATGAAACTGATAGAATGGAACAGATGGGGAGGTCCATGGATAGATGGATGAATCCATGTGATAGAACTGTCCAGGCACATGATGGACAGGATGGATAGATGGGTAGTTCCATGAAACAGGATAGATGGGTGGATCCATGAAACTGATAGATAGTTGTCCATGGATTTGTCCATGGAACTGGATAGATGGGGTTGTCCATGGAACTGGATAGATGGGTTGTCCATGAAACTGGATAGATGGGTTGTCCATGGATAGATGGATTGATCCATGAAACTGGATAGATGAGTTGTCCATGAAACTGGATAGATGGATGGATCCATGGAACTGGATAGATGGGTTGTCCATGGAACTGGATAGATGGGTTGTCCATGAAACTGGATAGATGGGGTTGTCCATGAAACTGGATAGATGGCGGGTCCATGAAACTGGATAGATGTGTTGGTCCATGAAACTGCATAGATGGGAGAGGTCCATGAAACTGAATAGATGGTCAATGAAACTGGGTTCATGGTCCATGAATAGAAGAGTGGGTCCATGAAACTGAATAGAAGAGTGGGTTCATGAAACTGAATAGAAGGGTGGGTCCATGAAACTGGGTAGGTCCAAAGAACTGGATAGATGGGTAGTTCCATGAAACGGGTAGACAGGTAAAAGGATAGGTCCATGGAACTAGGTAGATTTTGTTTCATGATTTTGGTAATTTAGTGTATGTGTATTTTCATAAGATTTGGTTGAGGGGGGCATATTGGTATCTGTTCGATTAGTAGGTGGAAAGTAAAATTCTATAAATTCCTGTGCTGTGTTCCTAGTAATAGAGTATGATGAAGAAGGTTCCACATTACCACTTGTATATGTGTAGATCAATGTAACTTGTAGATGATGTGAAAACAGTAAGTGAATTTCTGTCAGTTGTGAAAAAAAAAATAACAGTTCTTTTGACTTGCCACTAATGTGATACTGCTTCATGGCTTGTAAGTGTTTCTTTACTGCAATATGCACTAGTTATTTTCCTTGTTTCTTATAAATTACACAGATATCTGTTGATGTGGCATGTAATGGATGTATTTTTCCTTATCCTGACTCATGCTCTTTTGCTTGTCTTCTTCTTCTTGCGAACATAGTGGAACACTTGTATCTCCTTATTTGAAGCTCCCTTCAAAATAAAATCACTAATTGGTACTCACCACGAGTTGCCTCCCTTTGTCTCCCCTGGCGGGAAAAGGTGTCGCCACCTCTGCCCATGTGCTTCACTCTCTCCTTCTTCGCCCAGTGAGCAGGATGTGAGAGCGCCTCGTGTCTCCTTACACACCATATCCTTTGATAATCTCTTAGTTTTTACCTCTCATAGGTTACTATAGAGGTATAGCTAGTATCCTTTACTATTTGTATTGATTAATTATCGTATTTCTACTGTTTATTCCGTGTATTCCAGTGATTGTTCAGCTAACTTCGTTGATGAAAATCTATGCGATTTGTAGATTACGTTTTTCTGCCTCCGATCCACATGTAATATGCCCTAGTTCTTCGCCGTGTATATGCGTTTAATTCCGCGTTGCAGTTACTGCATTAATTTATCTCTTTCTGCATTTAATAAATATCATCTTTGCGTCTTAAGGCGTGCTGCAGATAGATCCATGAAACAAGGGCAAAACATGGCAGAGAGTCAGATATTCCATCCAGTCAGCTGCTAGCGTCGACCCTCTCTCCGTCTGGTGTTCTGCTACAGACCCCTGCGGTAGAGGAGCGTGGGGCATGATCCGTTACCTCGAAGAAAGCGACCGGCCTCCCCAGACATCCCGTCATTGCAGACCAAGTCTAAGAGGGCCTCATCGTCGTCTCAAGCGCCAGATTGAGGACACCCAGGGCAGCAGACTTCCAAAGGAAAATCACGAAGACAGCGAGAACTTTCTCAGCCGAGATCGTTCCAGCAGCAGAATTGGGTCTCTCGATGATCAGCCGATAATCATCCCGACTTACGGCAGAGGAAGCGACCGGTGTCAGCGACTGTGACTTCTGCAGAGATCACCATGCAGCCTGATGCCTCTACACCGGCGTCAGGCGTTATTGATGTGAACCCCATCGTGAGAGAAGGCGCCGGCGACTTAAGTCACAGATCATCCCAGAAGACATGATCGCGGCAGATTATGAACATCATGGAGGACCACTACAAACTGCAGAAGCAGGGTCGAGGCCAGCGAAGGCTCCAAGCGTGAACAGCACCCTAGAGGCACCCCGTCCAGCGTAGCAGCCAAGGCGATGTCACCTTCGGCGAAGGAAGTCCGGACCACCTTGGCGAAGGACCTAGATGTACAGCCTTGAAGCCTTAGGCGGGATAGATCATCACCATCTTCGATTTCATCTCTAGATATGGACTCGGACCATCAGACATCACGGAGGCCTTCGCGAAGGTCATATCATCGATCCCCGGACGGACGCCAAATGAAGCTTCGAAGGCATTAGCGAAGGACATATGATTCCAGATCCTCATCATCTAGAAGAACATCGAGGGACTATAGAAGAGCAGCGAAGCTATCAGCGTTCACCTCACAAGTCTCGAGAAGATCATCCCATAGGCGATCTCCGCCGTTCATCACCAGGTCGATCACCGTCAGATCTCCACATAGAAGCGCTTACAAGTCAACTAGATCGCCACAAACCTCATCAGATATACAGACAGCTACTGCGCAGTCGAAGAGCATCAACAATTTGTTAATGATGATGGTATTGAGGATGATGGAGGAATCATATTTTCTGATGCAGAGATACGGTATTGGATGGTCAATAACCTAGATCTCACATCACCATCTAAAAGTGGCAATACAAGCGCAGGCGTATTTGATGAAGGAAGGCGATCCAGATGCAATCACTCTACCCCCAATCGACCGATTGCGGCAGTGCCACAGAATCTAGATACAGCTTTCCAGAAAGCTCTACGAAAGTTCAGACACCACATCTGCCCAACTTTCATGCCAAGAAGTTCTCCACGCATAACATGGACTCCTTCTACAAAGCCCAGGACATCGATGAGAACTATAAGATCATCAGCGATGTAAAGAACAAGATTTACAAGATGGATGATGCATAAATTGGCTCATATAGAAACCATGGCGAGGCGTATGTTCTTTGGGTTAAATAGATCTAGGGCGATCAATGAGACTCTTATTACTAGATTCGGGATTCCACGACGGAAGATGATAGAATGATTTATTCTGCCTTACTTATGCAAAAGAAAGATAAGCAGTTTTAAGCGGATCATCTTACATCTGTTTTAGCAGCACTGACCTTAGCTTCGTCGTCAAGGCCTCCTCGCTTCCTGTAATTGGGGAGAACTTTACAGCCCCACTTTATACAGCCCCGTGGTCGTCAACATCCATCTTTGGCGGAGAAATCGACAAAGTAAGCCAAGGAAGTCTCTAAGGATTCCAGGAAGTCCTTATGATTAAATCCATGGACACACTAGCCAGCGTCATTCGTCAGACTTCACAAAGATACTCAGGCAGATCTAAGTTCACGGGCCTACAAAGAGCAAGAGACAGGAAGATAGCCAGCTCTAGAGGTAAAGATTCTTTTCAAGCCCATATGGCAACTATAGAGGAGGATCAGGAAGAGGCAGGACACCCAGAGGTTCCCGCAACTATAGGCAGCTGAAACACAGGTTGGAAGCGACTGGAGTCTTCCACCCCAGCCGTTCCAGTACAGCCAGCACAAGTGGGTGGGCGCCTCCAACTACACTGGGAAAACTGGGGAATATTGCAAGACCCTTACGTCTCCAACATTCTTCAACGCGGATTTACATTATCCCTCTACAGGCCAAGCCTCCGCTGACAATCAAACCCCCAAGTTCGATTTACAGCGCGCAACAACTACCAAAGATAAGAGAGGCTGTTTCATCACTCCTATCCAAACAAGCCATAGAAGTAATAGATCAAGCAAGCGTCGAACCAGGTTTCTACTCCCCAGTTTTCCTAGTTCCCAAGAAAAACTCCACGGAGAAATACAGACTCATCTACAACATGAGCTTTTTCAACAAGAATTATCTCATGGAAACCACCAAAGTTTCGCATGATACATTTACCTCAGTTACGCCAGATGATTAGGTCCTATGGACTACATGGGCAGCATAGATCTACAGGATGCCTACCTGCATCCCCATTCATCCCGATTCCAGGAAATACCTACGATTTACTCTAGAAGGGCTACATTACCAGTGGAAAGTACTCCCATTCAGAATTTCATCAGCCCCTGGCTATTCCGCGAGGATAAGAGAAACCGATTATCATATTTCTACATTGGCAAGGGCACGCGCGAGTCGCGTTTTACCTCGACGGACCCGGGATACAAGTAGATCAAGATCCACAGCGTCTCAAACTACAGTTAAATTACATCATAAAGCTACTAACACAACTAGGTTGGTTAGTAAACTTACATAAAGTCGGACCTAGTACCATCGCCAAGACCTGCAGTTCCTAGGTATTCGATTCATCACAAATCGCAACTGTATTATGGTACCAGAAGACCGTTGGCTCAAGATACAACAGACCATTCCACCAGCTCTACTCTCTCCGTTACCGCTTAGCGACAATGGCAGAGCCTACTAGGTCTTCTCACATCAGCCCAAGACATGACTGTCACAGGCAGATTACAGATTCACGTCCCCTACAGGTCCTCATCAGCGCACATCTCAGCGATGTACAACCTTTCAGTCTACCGAAACATCTCAGACCTCATCTACTATGGTGGACCAAGAAATCGAATGTCTGCGAAGGGATTTGTTTAGCAGAGCAGGAATACAAAACCCATCTGTATGTAGGCGCGTCCTCCAAGGTTGGGGAGCTCATCTCACCAACCACGATATCAGGATTATGGAATCAGCAAGAATGCAAACTCCATATAAACAGTCTAGAAATGAAAGCTGTAATCAGCGCCATTCTACATTGGAGCACATTTCTACAAAATGCATCTAATGATCCATACAGACAATTCGACAGTGGCGTTCTACATAAACAAGCAAGGCTCAGCGAGATCGATGAACCTTTTGAACCTAAACTTTCAACTGTTGATTTAATACAAGATCTAAATCTACATGTCAGAGCAGTGCACATTCCGGAGCCAGAAATATACTAGCAGGCGGCTCTCTCGGCCTCATCTACCATCACCGACAGAGTGGATGATCAACAGGAAATATTTGCACAGATAATCAAGCAATTAGGAGCCGCTAATAGACCTATTAAGCCACGCGATTCAACAATCAGCTACCGACATTCGTGTCACCAGTCCCAGACCCCAAGCGGGCAGCGGACGCTCTAAGTCTATCATGGGAAGGCCTCAATGCGTGCAGCGTTTCCGCCGCCAGCAATAATACCTCAAGTATTACAGAAAATCAGACAAACACAGAGCTACCACAACTCACTTTGGTGAATTGCCCTACTGGCGGCCAGAAGCGTCAGTTTCCACACTAATTCAAGAAATCGGTCAACCAGCACTGGAGCTACCCAAAGCGCCAAACCTGTTAATTCATCCTCACACCAAACAAGTGCGGAAAGCCAGCAATGTTCCAACTACTGCGTATGGACTGTATACAAATGTGTTTAAACAAGAGAGGATATTCTGCCAGGGCGGCAAAAGCAGTCCGCTTGCTTGCTACGTTACTCAACTTCGTAACTTGTATGGCGACAAGTGGCACAGTTTCGAAAATTATGCAGCAAAGAAAGGTTTTACAGCAAGAGAGGCTTCACAACCTCAAGTGGCAGACTATTTGTGTTACCTGCGCCAAAACAAACATTTAAAAGGTTCAACGATATCAACATATCTTGCCGCGCTTAGTTCTGTAATCACCATGAGAACGGGTGTCAAATTAACAAGATCTCCAGAGTTACTGGCCTTACTACGAGCTTTCCGATTGGAGGACCAAAAGCGGAAGTTCCACGCCCCAGCTTGGGATCTGAATGTAGTGTTACAACACCTCACGAGTGAGGTCTATGAACCTTTGGAATCAACAACTTTTGAATTTCTCTCACAGAAAACACTGTTTCTGCTATCTCTAGCCACGGCAGCAAGAATGTCTGAAATTCACGCTCTGGATTACGAGAGGATACAGTTTGATGACAATCATAACACAGCGCACCTCGGATTAAGGTGGGATTTCATTGCTAAAAATCAACTGCCAGGTCAACCAGACAGATTATTCCACATCCCGGGGCTATCCTCTATTCTCGGATCACAAGATACACAAGACCTATCACTGTGTCCAGTAAGAGCGCTCAAAGTTTATTTACGACGATCCAAAACAAGGAGAAGATTTCTCAAGCGTTTATTCATCCCCTTATAAGCCTACTGAATCAAACAGAAGTGTCACGGACCACAATATCTATTTGGATAAGGACTGTCATTCTCCGTGCCTACAAGGCAGCAGGCTTGGACCCACCAACAGCATCAAATCCACATGAGATCAGGACACTGGCCTCCACCCTCGCCCTATACAGTAACTGTTCCTTGAACACGATTATGGAAGGATGCTATTGGAAATCTAACATGGTATTTGCTAATCACTACCTGAGAGACATCACTACAGAAGATGTCTCTGGCATTCACCATTTCGGACCACTGGTCCTCGCTCAGCAACTGACAGTCCCTCGTAGGCGTTAAATATTATCCTCACAAGATTAATATGTACTTTATACATACTTATCTAGCTTATAACTCTACGGAGTTTTAGGGCTATGTATATATGTTCAGCTTAAGTTATTCAAACTTAAGCATATACTTTTGATATATTCAATTTCAGTGCCTCTATCAGAGTCACCACCTATATATATATATATATTATATGTATTGTTCAATATATTCATAATGTAATTCCCCTTTAATGGCTTTATATAACCTATGGTTTTATACAGGAAACATCCTAAATCTAAGCCTTCATGAAGTTCCGTAGAGGGATATTACAGTATATCTATACAAAATCACTAATTATAAATCCAAAGTATTCTGTTACTCCCACCTCTGTTCCATTAGGATGCTACAAGCAAAGAGCATGAGTCAGGATAAGGGAAAATATGTAATTTTGGAGTAAAATTGATATTTTATACTTATCCTGACTCATGAGGTTGCTCCCTCTCCATCCTCCCCACATAACACTTTGGATTTCCCTGTAAGTCCAAGTGTTGGGCTGCAAAATCAGGAGAGAGTGAAGCACATGGGCAGTGGTGGCGACACCTTTTCCCGCCAGGGGAGACAAAGGGAGGCAACTCGTGGTGAGTACCAATTAGTGATTTTATTTTGAAGGGAGCTTCAAATAAGGAGATACAAGTGTTCCACTATGTTCGCAAGAAGAAGAAGACAAGCAAAAGAGCATGAGTCAGGATAAGTATAAAATATCAATTTTACTCCAAAAATTACATTTTTGTCTCATGTGTATAGGTTCTCTGGTGCTGATATCAGTATTGTCGTCCGTGATGCACTCATGCAGCCTGTGAGGAAAGTACAGACAGCTACCCATTTCAGAAGAGTAAGTAACATTCATTGATGATCCAGCTGATATGGCTTCTAACTGTTCCATTTAGTAAAATAATGGACCGACACTTATACCATTAATGAATGTAGTGCAGATATTTCTCGTTTGATAAATTGTGTGTATTTTAAATCATCTCATCACAAAAAGTGCATATGCAGCCACTAGTGTAACAATATTTCTCTATTGTGCAGTCAATGGTGTCTGGTAGAAAGAGTTTGTCACGATATGGCTGAGGTATTGCCGATGTGACATTAAATATTAACTCACTCACTGGTAGAGAAAGTAGTCCTTTCCATTAAGGTATTGTCATATGTAATTTTGCATTGACAACTTTGAAGCCGAATGTGAAAATGGTATTCATGTGTCTTGTATGTTTCTGTGCAGGTGCGTGGTCCGTCCCGATCTGATCCTAGTTTGATACGTGATGACCTGCTAACTCCCTGCTCACCTGGTGCTCCTGGTGCTATGGAGATGAGCTGGACTAGTGTAGATGGAGACAAGCTTCTAGAACCCATTGTATCAAAGGTACCTGCTCGATTATGAACCTGTTGATTCCATGTTGCTTATGTCTCGTCAGTGGACTCGCGAAGGTCTGGGTTAGAATTGATCTGCAGTAACCCATGCTTGTCATAAGAGGCCACTAACGGGATCGGGTGGTCAGGCTTGCTGACTGGGTTGACTCATGTCATCGTATCCCAATTGCGTAGATCGATGTTCTTACTGTTGATTTCTAGATTGTCTGGTCCAGACTCGATAATTTACAGACCCCTGCCATATAGCTGGAATATTCTGAGTGTGGCGTAAAACTAAACTCACTCACTCACGCATGTCGTCAGTGAGAAATGTCACTTTGAAGGTCATTGACTTTAGGCAATATAATTTAATTGACATCATGATCAAGGTTACCAGAAATGTTATTGTCAGATGTAGTGCTAAACTGAAGAAGTGTTAGTTTTCATTGTAAAAACATTTATTAATGATTGTTTTTTAATTTTGAACACGGGGGACACCAGAAATGGGCTTCACATATTGTACCCCGCGTTGTGAATCGAACCCAGGTATTTGGCATGGCAAGCGAACGCTGTAACCACTTGGCTACCCCACTGCCCCTCATTAAAATAGAAATGTATTCTTGGATCTCATTGTATGCAGCCATCCTTTCATAAATGTGGTTAACTCATAAATATGCATAAGAATACTGTTATGACATAATTCTGTGATTTCTCTTACAGAGTGATATGCTGATGTCCTTAGCAACATCCAAACCCACAGTTAATGAAGAAGACTTGAAGAAGTTGGTGAAGTTTACGGAAGATTTTGGACAAGAAGGATAGACTACAGTACCAAGTGTATATTATTCCCTGTTACCATGGTTACTTATTTGTTTGTGTAATTTATGTCATGTATATGTCGGTAAGTGCTGTGTTTATCAAGTGAGGCTTCAAATATACTCTGTAAGATTCCACCAAACGACAATCTGCAATAACTAGTTCAAATTTTCATGTGAGAATGTTGAAATGATTTCTAACATTTCACATGTCATATCAGTTTCGCTTTGAGACACCATTATTGATTATTTTCAGACATGGACTTGGAATAGAATTCTGAATAATGATAGGACATTGATCCTCTTGATATGAAGTCAAGTTTTAGCGATTGGTGGCTTGGAAAACCCAAACTGCTTATACCAATAGCCATATTGCTGACAGTTCTATTTCCTGAGGGTTCTGATAAGGTATTACTGCCGTTATATCTGTGCCAGTAAATGTTTAATGACAATGTTTCACAGTGTGATGATGAACAAAGACTTGTTGGTTAGTGATATATGAACTGAAAACTGCTGGTGGTATTCTAAGCTGTTGTGTTCAGGCCCAAATTTCAAGACATGAACACCATGTATCGAGGAACTTCAGTATAATAGAAATATTTTCTAAATCCCTGAAGTATGCTTAACCCCATTACTTCATGCAGTAGTTATCCAATAGTAAATGGCCGTATGAGCTGGAATGATCTAGTCCCCAACTTGATTGGGAACAGCCTCCCAGAAAAAGCAGGTCAGAACGGTTTATGTTAATGACACTGTGATGAGATGTTGATTTGAGATGTCTCTTAATGACAACCTTTACATTGATGGACAAGACACGATGACACAATGATGAGCCTCCATTCAACCGTGAATGCATCATTTAGAGAGAACAAGGATGTATATAGTTAGCTGTGTGTGTCATTTTCAGTTGCATCACCAAACTTTATGAGGAACCTGTTGACAGACTGTCATGGGTTGTATTTAACTGTGAATGTTTATTATATCACTGTGATAATTACTGCTCTATACAGTACACATTCATCCACCATGTCATCATGGAATTGTTGAGACTAATTCACTCGCTGTATACTTGTGGATGACAAGGACTCGGGAAATATATCATAGTACCACATTATTTTGAATCGCAGTGTTTGTGTAGTGGTCATTTTTTATTCTGTGTCAGTTGTGTAGAAATCACTATGTTCTTATTGAAATTTTGTCAGTCATTTTCGATCACTGTCAGATGTTATTGTCTTTTATTAACAAATTTAGTGTTATTAACAATTTTTGTCATGAATGTTGGAATGTTATGTTTTCACGTAAGTTTAGGAACACAAGGACATCCATCACTGGATGCAGTTCAGTTCAGTTTCATACGAATTTTGAGGATTGGTTTGATAAAAGACATGGCTTCTTTGAAGCAAGATATTACAATATTATAACCAAGTTTTACGGTTTTTGAAGAAAGAAAAAATACAAATGGAAATCTTACATTTTTTTAAATTGACATTTTGCATGTAAGTTGAAAAAAAATCACTCTCAAGCCTGTTTGACAATTCATACACATTAATTCAGAGGAATTTGTGGTACTTTATCTTCTTTTACATGAGTTAGAATCCTAACCCTTCTATCTGTTGTAAATATCCTCTAATATTCTTCTTTGATAGCTCGTATTATGGACAATTTCTTACTGCAGTTCAACCAGCAGCAGAAGTGTGGATGTAAATAAGTACATTAGGGTGATGAAATGGAGAATAGTGCTGCTGTTTATAGTAATTTGTCAGCTTATACAAAATCACTTGTTAGGAATATAACTTCATGTAAAAAATTATAGATAAGTGAAGTATAAGTTAGCAGTACACAGTATAGATAGGAGTGGTGGGTAGGCTAGTTGTTAAAGCATTAACTTGTCACTCCAAATGCTTCTGTTTATTTTAGAATTGATGTCACTTTTTACATTTATACCTCCATCAACACAAAAAAAATCCCCAAGTCATTGATTATTTCACAGACTGTATTTTCAAATATTGACACTAAAAATTGTAGACAAAAATACAAGATCAGTGATATCATTCAGAGCAGTAATGCAGATCAACCTCTTTATTAGGCAATCAGGAAATAAAAGTCTACTATTGAGTGTTATCAATTTTTTTTTTAAAACATGCATAAACAATTGCTTGATTAGTTGATTGAATACCATGGAATCACTTGCAGTTTATTTAATTACGTCAAGCCTACCAAGTTCATATGGCTGGAATATTGCTAAACAATGTGATACTGGTAGAACTTTCATTTTAAGATCAGCATGAATATTAGAACCTTTAGATTTCAGCCACAGTTTGTAAGTAGTTGCCATTCGACTCTGTACTGAAACGTCAGTCATGTGACAAATAACACCAGGAACACCTGTGGAAAACTCTCCTGCAAGTTTCCAACTTTTAAACTGGACCCTGAATGTTTAGCTGGATATGTATTTCTTTCCAAGAATTACATATTCTTTTGAATAATTACAGCATCTAAGAATGAATGTATGACAGTGCATAGTAATAGGAAGGGCACATGTCTGAAGGTTTAGGACTGTCAAACTGTGATGTCAGCTGTTGTTTTTAGACTGCTGCAACTCTCTGCTAAACATGCATGGAGTGGTGTAGTCTAGGGATACAGCGCTCATTCTGTACAGGGTACAGAGAGTGAAGCAGGTTCCAGTCTCAACTGATGAAACTGAATTAGTACTAAATAGGAGGCAAACCCAAATTCCCTACTCGCTAGTTACAATCAGCCCTCTGAAAGGAAACTGATGATTAATGACATTTTGTCTCAAACTGTTTTGTCTTTACAAGCAGATGGACTGTAATGACCTGTTCCAGATATCGCCTTCAGTTTGAAAGATAATTTATTAATTGTTTTCAAATGGTCACATATTGTTAACAAAGTATAGCGTCCTGTCTTTTATATAGGCAATAATGTTCATTTCTGATTACCTTTAGTTCTTAGTCTATAAAGAAATGGTTGGAATGGCTTGGTGCAAGTGTATTATGTAACTGTAATATAATTGTACATAGGATCCAGAATTGTGTGGTAGAGGAGTTTTCATGCCTACATCAGTACCCATGGCATATGATAAAGCTGTTGTTTGTGATTAGATGCTGACATCCACCTAATGATGTAAAATAGAACATGCTGCTGCATCAAGCTCAGAAACAGAAGCTTCTCAGTAACCATGGTAAAATATTTCATGTCATTCTCATAAATTGAAAACTCAAAACGTTTGAAAGGAAGGTTTAGTATGTCAGACAAATTCTCATTCTCTATCAGCAGTATGTGTTACTTCTCGACATCAATATGGAATAGCGGCCTGAATGAATACTGCCATGGCATGCTAACACTGCGTGCTCACTGTAATGTTACAGAGTTTAAGACTTTTTTAGTTGTTTTCAGGTATGGCTTTTGTAAATAGCATTGTAATGAGGACATGTGTAGACGCAGCCTGTCAACTGATTGTAAATTTGCCTAGATTGAAAGCTTGTCATTGTTGTAAAATATATTTCTAAAACTTTCATCTTGTAATAAAACTTCATTCAGTCACTTTGTGTTCCTGTTTCGTATTGTTTGAAGATTGCAGTGTTGTGGATCACAAAGGTGGAAGTGTCCCGTGGCAGCATCATGCCAAAAACTGTTGTCACCCTGCCTGGGCTAGGCAATAAAGGGATAAAACAAGCACTGTTTGAGTCTATATACTGAGTCAGATGCCTGTAGCCATAGTATGGTATCTTGGTTGGTTTGTTATTTAACGCCGCACTCAGCAATATTCCAGCTATATTCCAGCTCTGTAAATAATCGAGTCTGGAACAGACAATCCAGTGATCAACAGCATGAGCATCAACCTACACAATTGGGATACAATGACGTGTCATGCAAGTCAGCGAGCCTGACCACCTGACAATCGTGTATATCTCATTGGGCTAGCATAATAGAGCTGGCTGAGGTCAAACATTTATATCTTGTGTACAATAAAAAACAGCTGTTGCTCGTAAACAAACATGAATTTTCATTCAGATTCCAATGGTGAAGAGAACAAGACCTGTCTGCAGTCATGCCTGGTTGATCATTGGTTAGCCGGGAGTGTAAGGCAGTACTTTGTTTTGATTTGTTAAATGTTTGAATTCAATTAGTGAAGTCCCTCCCCTATGATGTAATGTTAGTATTGGTAATTCAAAAATGAATTGCAAATTATTTGATTCTGATTGACTCAGATACAAATCATTGAAAAACACCTTTGATGATAGATATTGTTCATTCACTGTTTATTCAAGAGGCAACTAAAGGGATCGGATTGTCAAGCCTCACTGACTCGGATAATGCATGGTACTGTATCCCAACTGTTGTTTAATGCTCATGATGTCAATCGCTGGATTGTCTGGTTGACACTTTTTATTTGTAGACCACTGTCATGGCTGAATACGGCGCCTGGCGTAAACAAATAATGTGCCGGAGAGACGCCAGTGCCTCAACTACGAAAAGACAGATTGTAGAAGCGTACATAAAATCACTGCCCCGTCACTGTCACGCCGTGTCTGGCCTCAAGGTGCTGCACGGCCATTTATGTTACGCTTTCCTTCTGATTTGGTCTAGAAGCCAGGGCCTAGATTTTCGAAGCTCTCTTAGCGCTAAGACAGTCGTAAGTTAATGTTAATGTATGGCACTTATCGACTATCTTAGCGCTAAGTGAGCTTCGAAAATCTAGGCCCAGACCCCTAATATGGTGAAAATGTGGTGCAGTTCTGGAGACCGAATGGGATGTGATTTTTCACAATAAATGATTTACCTTTGATTTAAAGCCGGTTGTTATCAGCTACCGTGCGTGACGTGACTACCGTGCAGGTGCCCTTTTATGGTGCAGCATGTCATTTTAGTTATGGCAATATTTTAACCGATAGCTGGATGGTTTAATTCAGTAACTCTGGTTTGAATTGACCAATTTTCATCAAAATAGTAGTTTTGGAATGCAGTAAGAAGTTTTAGAATTCAGTTCGAATTTCCAGGAATCTCCCAAAATTTTAATTCCCACCGCATTCTGCCTCATTCCGTCTCAAGTGTGACCGCGGGTGTATTACCCAGGGTCCGAGTTCCTCTTTCTGAATCCCGCTCTTACTGATCCTAGATTTTGAAGCTCTCTTAGCGCTAAGATAGTCATAAGTTAATGTTAATGTATGGCACTTACGACTATCTTAGCGCTAAGACCCCTTCAATCTGACCCTGGACCCAGATCCCTACCATATGACCCTGACTGCCCACTTCAATCTGACCCTCGGCACGCTGATTCCATCCCACTTTGTCTTCGAAAACTGCGGATTCTTGCTCTGATCCCCACTTGGGGCGGTGGGGTAGCCCAGTAGTTAAAGCGTTCGCTCGTCACGCCGTAGATCCGGGTTCGATTCCCCACATGGGCACAATGTGTGAAGCCCATTTCTGGTGTCCCCCGTCGTGATGTTGCTGGAATATTGCTGAAAGCGGCGTAAAACCATTCTCACTCACTGATCCCCACTCAAGCTAACTCCCCAATAACCCCCCGTCTGACCCCATTCATTCTGACTCCAACAGTAACTCCCTGACCCTTTTATAATCCCCCACATGGGTACTGAAGCTCATTTCCCCATCGTGATGTTGCTGGAATATTGCTAAAAGCGGCGTAAAACCAAACTCACTCTGACCCTCCTATATATCCTCACTCCAACTTAGACAATACCTCACCTTGACACTCCGAGTTAGAACCGCCTTCGTGGGTTCGATCCCCGGCCGCGTCATGCCAAAAGACGTTAAAATATGGTACTTGTTGGTCCCTTCCTGGCGCTCGGCATTAATGGGTACAACAAGGACTGTTCGGCTCGGAGTCAGTATGATGTGTCTGAGTGGGGTATTCCAACTGCGGAATGGGTTCCTTCTGAACTGCGGCATGGTATCTCAGTGGGCTAGCACTATAAAACCAGCTTAAGTCTGGGCTAGTACAAGCAGTCACACATACACACGCATGCACGTCGTCATGTGAGCGAAATATTCTCAAGTACGACGTTAAACCCCACTCCACCTCACCTTATTCCGATAACTCACCCTGATCCTCCTCACCCCAAGTTAGAGAGACGCACGCACGCACGCACACACGAGCGTGTGAACGAACTAAAGTGGGACAACTGATACAGCGATTGCCGTGCGCTGGACAAAAAATATTGCCTCAGGCGGTCGTATCAGAAGTTCTGCAATCCTTCACTATCAACAGGAAGTTATCAGGACATAGAAAATACACTCTTCCAAAAAAAAAAAAAAAAATAAAAAAAATAAAAAAAATAAAGATACGCATAAGCAAGTTTTAGAAGAATTTATTGCGTTAGTTTAAAAGCAATAATTTCATGTTTTCATTTACTGTATTTCATGTATTTCATTTAATGGTAGAAAATGTGAAAATTCACACGTCTGTAAACCAAGTGTTCGCCAACAAAACTTTAGCCGTTATTGTTGCGTTTCTGTTTACTTGAGTCCACAAGATGGCGTCAAAGTCCGTATTTTGTATGGTCACCATTGGTAGCAACTACTGCTTGGCACCCTCTCCGCACAGACTGGATAAGTCGACGAAGTCGCTCATGTGGAAGTCTTCCCCACTGTTCCTGCAATGCGATGTCCAGTTGTGGAAGTGTTTGAGGCGTGTTTTGACGTTGACGTCCACGTCGATCGTGTTCATCTTATAGGTGTTCTACCGGGTTTAGGCAGTGTAGGAAAAATGTAGAAAATCTAGCCTGTCCACAGGACTGGCAGGTCAATTTTTTTACCAGTCCTGCCAAAATCTAGCCTGTCCTCCAAATATAAATAAAACACCTTCGGCAGTAAATATTCAAAAAGGTTATAATCATTATATATATGTCATTGGTTTGCTAAAACTGACCCGACATGAGGACGGACTAGATATTTTTTTAACCCGCCCTCTACAAAATTCATCCGTCTCGGACGTTGGGACGGGCTATCTTTCCTACACTGGTTTAGGTCTGGTGACCGGGAAGGCCATGCCGAGACATTGACGTTAGAATTGGCAAGGTAGCGGACGGTGGCGCTTTGCTGTATGTGAAGTAGCGTTGTCATGCTGGAACAACTCCCTCTGTCGGTCCATAATCGGAAGCATGTGACGTGCAAGGACTTCGTTGATGTACCGATACGGCATGCTTTTCGGCTTACTTGCACGTGCTTTTTGCTTTGCATGTTTTCTTGGTGACGTTTTGGCGATTATTTCTTCAAACGCTTCTAAAACAAGGGGAAAAGTTCAAATTGCCGCGTTTTGGCCCTGAAGCTGTTTACAATCACCACAAAGATGACATTTTGGAAAGAAATAGTATATTTGTGTTGTTTTTGCCGCAGCTACATGAGTCCAGTATTCTCAAAATCACCTATGCGTTTCTTTTTGTGAAGAATGTAACATCACAGTGACTTCAATTATACCGCATAAAGAGAACTAAAGGTATTAATGGAACAGGTAATTTGTCTAAGTGCGGCTTGGTTTGAAGTAATCAGGGGAGGTTGATCTAAACATACGTTAGTCTCCAGGGTAAGATATTAAAAATAACATATGCACCAACGCACGCACGCTCATGCCCTTATGTTCCTTCTATACTAGGCACATAAAGAAACTGTGCATACAAAAATTTAAAATCTAAATTTATCAAACCTGTGTAGACACATAAGGATTTAAACTCAGAGATTAGTGACATGTATCCAACATGCATGCACGTGCCACGTTCCGTGACGTCAGTGGGTTCGTCCTTGAGACGTGCAATACGTTGTTGCATGTGCATTCCGGGAAAGAGAAACAGAGCAAATGAATGCCACACAATACTGTCACTTTGGAAAGCTCAACCCCTGCCCTTGCGATCGTTCAAACAATTAAACGGCTATTGAAACGCATAGCATGCCAAGGCTCACGTCTGCACAACGTCCTGAGGCCATTGGGATGGTCCGTGGGGGAATGTCTCAACGACAAGTGGCTGCACATTTCCACTGCCACCGGAACACCATTTCTGCACTGGTGAGATGCTACCAGAACACAAATGACGTCATCGATCGACCACGTTCTGGACGTCCACGTGTAACAACGCCAAGACAGGACAGATGGATAAGGGTGACCCATCTTCGCCACAGGTTTCAGACTGCAGTGATGACTGTCCGAACCATCCCAGGACTTCGCCGTATCCACCCCAACACAGTTCGACAACGTTTACGTCATCACGGGATCAGACCACGACGTCCCGCCATACGGCCTATCCTGACACAACGTCATCGACAAGGTCGCCGAATGTGGTCCCGAAATCATGTCCGCAGACCCTTGTTTTGGTGGAGAAATGTTGTTTTTACAGATGAGTACAGGTTTAACATTTGCCATAGTGATGGATGTCAACGTGCCTATAGACGCGTGGGAGAACGTTATGCACAGAATCGCTGTGGTGGTGGTTCCGTGATGATTTTGGGTGGAATAACAGAACGCCAAAGAACTCCTTTGGTGATTGTTCAGGGCAACTTAACTGGTGTGGGCTACAGGGATCAGATTC